TTTTTTTTTTTGCATATTACATATATATATATATATATATATATATATATATATTTCATATTCACAGCTTTTATTAGAGGTGATGAACCGGTTGTTTCTGGAATTTGTTTTAGTATAAATATATAAGATTTTTTAGATAGGGAATTTTTTTCATGTGCTCTGATTTAAAATGTTAGATCTGTATTAAATATGTTGTTTTTATATATATTTTTGTTTTATTTGTTACTGTGATTTTTATAAGATTTAAGGGTTAAAAATGAAAGCTCCATGAAATAAATGTTTAATTTGTTCCATTTTTCTGAAAATTGCAGCTTTCGAGGGAGTGTCTCCTCTTGTGAAGGCGATATGAATAAAGTAAGATAAAGAGTTTGTCATGATCAGAATGCTACATGGAGCGTTTGTTGTGTGTTATGCTGCAGCTATTTCAACAGTTTGAATAAATCAACGTAGCTTTGGTTGTTAAATATATATACATATATATATATATATATGTATTTGTATTGTATGTATCCGTGTAGCTAAGGCAGTCTTGATTTGTTGTTATTTATTAGTCAACAGCTATGTACTCCACTCTAATTATTAATGAAACTAAAGCATGATTATCCCAATTTGCTTGTCTACGAATTAAAAGACATGAAACAACAATCAACCAAAGACACCAACAATCTAATATCATCACGAACTAGAGCAGCTACATCTAAGAGATGAGTCCTCATAAGGCCATCGGCAATCCAGCTCACACTCCGTGTTTAGAGTCCCTTCTCCTTGACCTTTATTAAGCCTTCTCGGACAGCTAATGCTTCACCTATCTGAGAGGAGATCCCTCCATCAATCTTTTTGGGCACAGCAAAAACAACACTACTATCATACCGTCCAACCATGGCTCCAACTCCCACGCCCCCTGCATTAGGCTTCACGGTCGCTGCATTAGGCTTCACGGCTGCAGCGACGTAATCACACCGGTAGCCGCCTAGTCGGCTTTGGGGGAGGCTTTTATGAAAATCTAACGTGTATAGGTTAAAGAAATAATTATTTTTATGTCTAGGTTGAGTGTAGACGAGCAAAAGCTCAATCGAGTCAACAATTAAATACTGAAGTGATTAGTAGATCATAAATAACAATCAGTGAAGTGGCATACTACAGAGACGTGGTTGAGGCGGCGAAACTTGACGTTCTCGGATGAGGAGAACGCTATACTAATGGAAAGTTGGACCATTCGAATGGCCATAATTTTTCGTGCGCACAAAATTCCGCATAAATTTAGGGCAAAGATAGCGGCTATGTATTTAAAGGAATATCTAGCAGTTTGGTGGGAGATTTTTCAAAGATAGAACAACGAAAGAAATAACATGGAATATGTTTCGGTTTACAATAGAAAGACAATTTAGCCAAAACCTTAGAGGTTCTCTCAACAAGAGAAGAAAGCTTGAGAGTTTCGCCGATAGTGACACATAATAACTAAAAATTTGAAGATGAAAATTTGTGATATATTGTAAATAATTGTGAATAATGAATATTACTGTATTGAATTACGACTTAAGTGCTCTATGGATATTTGAATAGTGTTATTTTGAGTAATGTTATTTTGATCAATGAATGAGTACTTAGTATTTATTGACTAAGAGTGAATATCTTTTGCTAAATGACGTGCATATAGGAATAACACACGCACCAGCACATTAAAACAAATGGCACGTGGAAGACCCCGCAAGATTCCTCGAGTAGAGTAAGCGGAACCAGCTCGTCAGGGAGATGGTAACGAACTCAGAAATGAGGCTCATGAAGTGCCTCCTGCTAGGGCACAAGAGGATGAGATAGCAGGATTACTAAAAGCGATGAGACTACAAGCAGAGCAACTTCGCCAGCAGAACGAGCGACTTAATGTCTTTATGGAATAAATAGAGGCTAATATTACTAGAAGTGACTTAATGTCTTCACTGGCCACTATCTTCCTACTTAAAGCATCCGCGACCTTATTCGTCTTGCCTGGATGGTAATGGAATCACAATCATAATTATTTACAATTTCTAACCATCTCTGTTGCCCCATGTTTAATTCCTTATGTGTGAAGATATACTTTAGACTTGTGGTCTACGTAAATATCGCAGTGTACTCCATACACATAGTGTCTCCATATCTTTAATGCAAATACCACAACGGCCAACTCAAGGTCATGCGTCAGATAATTCTTTTCGTAATCTTTCAATTGCTGAGAAGCATAAACAATTACCTTGCCATGCTGCATTAATACTACTCCCAAACCCTGTCTAAAGGCATCACTATAAATCACAAATCCTTCACTACCCGAAGGAATAGCCAAAATTGGAGTTAAAGTCAATCATTCCTTCAATTCTTGGAAGCATTCCTCGCATTTGTCAGTCCACTCGAACTTAACGTCCTGCGACTGAGTTGAGTTAAAGGTTGCGCAACTCTCGAGAATCCTTCGAAGAAGCGTTGGTAATATCCTACTAATCCGAGAAAGTTGCGAACTTCAGTAGCACTGTCTAGCCTCTTCCATTGACTCACGGCTTCCACCTTAAATGGATCCATTGAAATTCCTTCCTTTGAGACCACATGTCCAAGAAATGACACTCTCTCTAACCAAAACTCACATTTCTTAAACTTAGCGTACAACTCCTTGTCTTACAACCTTTGTAGAACTAATGGTAAGTATGCCTCAATGCTCTTGCTCAGTCCGTGAATACACCAGTATATCATCAATGAACACTATCACGAATTTATCAAGATATTCCTTAAACACTCGATTCATGAGATCAATGAACGCTACTGGGGCATTGGTCAATCCAAATGACATTACCAGAAACTCATAGTGTCCATATCTGGTTCAGAATGTTGTCTTACGAATGTCTTCTTCTCAAATTTTCAGCTGATGGTACCCCGATCTCAAATCAATCTTCGAGAAGACTGTCGCGCTTTGGAGCTGATTGAACAAATCATCAATCATCGGCAGAGGATATTTGTTCTTTATGGTAGCCTTATTTAGCTCCCGATAATCAATGCACATCATTATCATGCCATCCTTCTTCTTAATGAACAATACCAATGCTCTCAAAAGTGAATAACTTGGCCTGATAAACTTTTTATCCAACAATTCCTGCAATTGTGTCTTCAATTCCTTCAGTTCTGCTGGGACCATATGATATGGAGCTTTGAAAATCGGCGCAGTTCTAAGTAATAACTCAATCACAAACTCCAACTCCGATCTAGTGGCAAACCAGGCAAATCCTCTGGAAAAACACTCAGGAAATCTTGAACCACTAGAACGTCTTTAGGCTCAAGCGTTACTTCTTTCGTCGTGTCTATAATACTAGCTAGATATCCACACAACCACTAGCTAGCATTTTATAAACATTCATAGCTGATATAATCAGCAACTTCTGTTTGCGGGAGGTTCCACGAAACTCGAATGCTTCTTCTCACCTGGGGGCAGGAATATCACTTTCTTCTTTTTACAGTCTATCACATCGTTATGTCGTGTTAGCCAGTCCATCCCCAATATGACATCGTAATCATACATCTTTAGTATGATTAGATCCGCATACAATTTTCTACCACAAATAACAATATGCACTGCTATAAACCAAGATGGAACTTTAAACTATCTCCTGATGGCAAAAACGCTCTACATACTTCCCCTAGCTCATCTGGCGCTCTCCCTAACTTTCTAGTAAAACTCGCAGCAATGAAAGAGTGCCCATCCCCAATATGACATCATAATTAGACATATCTAGTATGATTAGATCGACATACAATTCTCTACCATAAATAACAATAGGCACTACTCTAAACCAAGATTGAAACTTCAAACTATCTCCTGAAGGTAAAAACACTCTACATACTTCCCCTAGCTCATCTGGCATTCTCCTTAACTTTCTAGCAAAGCTCACAGTAATAAAAGAGTGAGATGCACCTGAGTCTATTAATGCATATGCAGTAGTATCGGCCATAGAGAGTTGACCTGAAGCAACTTCGGAAGGTCCAATCTCTGCTTCACCTTGAGTCAGGGCAAACACTTGAGCATTCATCTTCTACTGATTTCCACCTTGTCCTCCTTGTTTTGAGTTTTTTGGGCAATATCTGGCATAGTGCCCAGGCTTTCCGCAAGCATAACACCCAAAGTTGTTCGTCCAACATTCTCCACGATGTCAACGATCGCAATTGTTGCAGTATAACCATAACTCAAAGCTCTATTGGCCCTGTTGTCTCCGGTCATCTCCTCGATTCGGCCTATTTTGATTTCCTTGCCCATCTCTATCTCTGTTTCTTCTTCCGCCTTGGTTATTATTTCCAAAGTGCTTATTGCCTCGATTTTCAAAATTTCCCCGCCGGGGTCCTTGTCCTTGTCTATTTCCAAAATTCCATTTTTGCTGGAAATTCCCTCGGTTGCTAAGGCGAGACCAATAATTAGAACCAGTATCACTCTCCTTAGTCCCTGAAAGTTGAGCATGTCTCTTTTCAACATTTTCTCACATTTCTTGTCGAATGGCTCCCTTAACGGCTTCTGCATAGCTGCGTGGCCCTGCTTCACCAGCATCCACTAACTTAGCCAAATTCGGCCTTAGGCCTTTCATAAACCTCATTTTCTTCTCATTTTCTGTTGCTACTAATCCGGGTGCAAATCTTGACAATTGATCGAACCTCTGCACATATTCGATCATTGTAGAATTCTCTTATTTTAACTCTTGAAACTCGTCCACTTTTGCATTCAGAATGTTAGCATTATAATATTTGGAGTTAAACAGCTCCAGGAAATCTTGTCCAGGTCAAAGTATTCGCATATGCAATCTTGTTAACAGTGTCCCACCAAAGTCTCACATTGTTCTTCATCTGATACACCGCGCATACCACCTTTTCCTGATCTGTAAACTTCATGAAGTCAAAAATATTCTCAAGACTACATATCAATTCTTCGACAATTAATGGACCAACGTCCCCCTCAAATGTCAGAGGCTATTGTTTCCTAAATCGCTCATACACTATCTCTCTCACCTGAGCCTCGTTCTGATTTCGTGCCGGTTACGGTTGTAGCGGCGATTGTTGTTGTTGTGGCAGTGGATTCATATTAGCATCCATTCGTTCCACGAAGGCATTAAGTCGCTCGTTCTATTGGTGAATTTGCTCCGCTTGCAGGCTCATCGCCTCTCGTAATCCTACTATCTTATCCTCTTGTGCCCTAGCAAGAGGCACTTCAAGAGCCTCATTTCTGAGTTCGTTACCATCTCCCTGACGAGCTGGTTCCGCTTGCTCTACTCGAGGAATCATATGGGGTCTTCCACATGCCATTTGTTTTAACGTGCTAATGTATGTGTTATTTCCACATGCACGTCATTTATCAAGATATTCACTTTTAGTCAATAAATAATATTATTAAAACATCCATACAACACCTAGGTCATAGTTCGATTCAATACATAATCATTATTCACAATTATTTACAGTATATCATAAATTTTCATATCCAAATTTTTAGTTATTTTGTATCACTATCGGTGAAACTCTCAAGTTTTCTTCTCTCCTAGAGGGAACCTCCAAGGTTTTGACTAAATTATCTTTCTATTGTAAAATGAAACCTATTCCATGTCATTTCTTTCGTTGTTCTATCTTGCAAAATCTCCCACCAAATTGCTGGATATTCTCTTAAATACATAGCCGCTATCATTGTCCTAAACTTATGGGGAATGTTGTGCGCGCGAAAAATTATGGTCATCCGAGTGGCCTAATTTTCCACTGGTATAGTGTTCTCCTCATCTGAGAACGTTGAAGGTTTCGCCGCCTCAACCACGTCTCCGTAGTATGCCATTTCACTGGTTGTTATTTGTAATCTACTAGTCACTTCAGTGTTTAATTTTTGGCTCAATTGAACTTCTGCTCGTCTACAACTCGACCCAGACATAAGACAACTATTTCTTTAACCTATACACGTTAAAGTTTCATAAATCATATACTCATAAATGCAAAATTCACAAAATACACAACTTACAGTGAGCAGGTTCGCCGTCTTCGTGACTTGTACACATGGAGTTGTCTGTAAAAACGATTAAACTCTAACTCTGATACCACTAATTGTGACATCCTTATACTATCTCCTGAAAACCTCACTTAGTATTAATGCAAAGAATGTGCCACAATAACTAACCTTCACTATTCGCTTATGCGAAAATTATGGTATTTTAAAAAATTTCCTTAAACAAGACTCGGTCAACACACTATTTTTATCAGGTTTTCTAGCTATGCTTATAATTATATAACCATCCAACGTTTATGAGTTTAATCTCAAAATATATGTATTTACAATTCCAAAATAGTATGTGCCGTTTTTTCGGTCCGACCATATGTACAGCGGTGAACGAAGCCAACTCCCCTGCCTACTGCTCTGCCTTGTTCTTGTCTTTATCTACAGCACAGAGTAAACTTTAATGAGCTATAGGCACAATAAGTGGAGCTACAATTACACAATCTCATTTCAACATACTCATGCATCACAACATCCTAGATAACTAATGCCAATCAATTATTACATTCTATGCACGTGCACTATGTATCTCTATGACCCTCTAGGTACTGCTGTCGACTTTTTTACAATCTGGCCACATGCCAATTTCTCAAATCACAATATCAGGTTCCCCGTCATCACCCACCTGGTTCGAGTGAACGACCAACGCATTCAAATTCACAAATTCACAATATCACAATATAATCTCCGTCATCACCCACCTGGCTCGAGAGACTTATGCAGCTCAATCACAATCTCATCTATCACTATATGAGTCCTTTAAGGACTTAGCAGTACCGACCTATTGTGCATGCTATTTCACACTGAGTACAATACTTGTACTAGCATGCCTTCACAAAACATACACATTGACAATGCCACAAAAATCATATAATAGCATACTAGACATTCCATAGAAAGTCTACCAAATAAGGTTTACAAGTGCGGTAGAGAAATCACTCTATTTACTTGAGTTGTTTAGCAAAATCCGAGTTCAATCCTTTTTGCGTCCCTTACTCATTTTTCCTCTCTACTGTCCAAAATAGACAAATTGGTTTTCGTTATTTGAAGCTCAACAGCTCAGTTATAGTGATTTGTTGTCTTTGCTTATTCAATTTAAGAATCACGTTTTTAACACATTTTTCATATTTCATTAAGAGATTTATATTTAATGTCTCTTATATTTAATGTTAATATAATCTCAAGGTTCTAAACTATAAATCGTTCAGCCATAAATCAATTTCTAACTCGAATTTATACTCTTTATAAATTCAGTAAATTGACAGATTTGTTGACCTTGACGAAAATATAAATAAATTATTATCTAAGTCTTTAAAAATTTCAAAATCCACTGCAAAAGAAAGTAGACAGGTAGATCTTTCCAATGAACTATCATATGTCTTGAAAAAAGTTTTGAAGATATCAAAATTTTAATTTTTTCTGATTTTGACAGCTTTCAAAAAATTACTATATGAAACTTCTAATGCGCACAACTCAGACTATAAAACTCCAAATGACGTGATTCTAACTCCCACACGTCACTATAAACATGTTCTAAATGATAGTAACGCAGTTTAGGTGCAGCAACCATAAATCATAAAATGAACATGTTGATTCTTATTCTTTAGATTTCTTAGAAAATGCAACATGAGCAACCATTTATGAATATTAAAGTATTCTATATAGCCTTAAAAATTTTAAAATTAGTGCTTAAATGAAGTATACATCTACGTCTGTCGAAAGAACTATCACATGTTTAGTTTCAGGTCCGTTAAGGCCTTCAAAAACACGTTATACCAAATTAAATCTTGCTTGTCTTTCTGAAGAAAAACCAGCCACCAAGCCTAACTTTAAAAAGTCGTAACTCACCAACCAAATATGCTTTTCTGGTGATTCTTGACCTTGTGATTTCGTTTTCAAGTCTATTATCTGGTAAAAATAGTGATAATTTCCCAGAAATTCATTTTGATACCCCGTTTTATAAATCTTCACGGCTAACTCAATCCTGACACTATAAACACTAAACCCACTTCCAAAAATCACCCAGAATTCAATACAACTCCAATTGCTTTAAATTATACCAATTTGGAAAGCTCAAGGTGTCTACTAATTCCCATAAAAATCTCAGAACCAATTTTACATACTAAGTTAATTATCCAAACCAAAATTTCAAACTGCTCAGAATTAAAAACAGAGCATAAACTTAACTCACCAAATTCCTCTTCAATTCTGGGCTGAGTTGAATCTTTCTTCTCCTCAAGCTAAAATCAAAACATAATTCAGTCAATTACTCCCCACCAAACACTCAGCCATGCAAAGATTTTTTTCCAAATAAACTCTTACTTTGAACCGTAGCTCAAATCAATCATTTACTTCAATGAACTGCTGCAGCTCTTTGTGGGAGAAGAAGGATGAATCAAGGAAAAGAGGGGAAAAAAAAAACCGCAGAGGGAGAGGGAGAGGGTATTCGGTGGATGCATAGAGAGTGAAATTTTTTTTTTTATTCCTAAGCTTTTTTCTCTCTGTTTTTTTTTTTTTTTCTCTCTCTTTAATGCTCTTAGCCTCTCAACGTGTCTAAGGGGGAAAAAAAAAACTGGCTTTGCTGGAACTCCAACAATGCCACCTGAAAGGGCAGCTTTTCTCTTCTTTTTTTTTTTTTTAATTCAAAATTACAGTTTGGTTTCTTTATTTTTTAATATTTGCATTTTGGCCCTAAATGTAAGAATCCTTACAATCTTACTTCCAAAGCCTTATAATTTAGATATTGAGCTCCTTTAAAATTTTGAACCTGAAAATTGAGACGTTACATATATACATCTATGTATTTATTTATTCAGAATGATATATTGATGTTGAAGGATTTGCAGCTCCAATAGTTTTTTGGATTCAGAATTAAGTGGACGTTTAGTTTACGGATTTAGGATTATTTTCTATTTACGTGTTTTTTGTGTGAAATAAAATACTGTAACGAGTCAAGAATCATGATTCAAACTATAACACCAATTCTCATACCAAACATGACATAAGTGTCCAAGATCAACATGCTCCACTTACGGAAGAAGAGATAGTTCAAAAAGTTCCCAAGCCTCTTTAAGGATACATCAACGGAGCCGGAAAATTATGAAATGGTCTTCCAGTTTTTGTGGTGGACATGGAAAAGAGCACCTTCATAGCATTTGGTCGATCTTGCTACACAAGTGATTGAGTTCAAAAGGTCTTATTTTGTAATTATGACTTCGAATTAAATTAGCGCTTTACTAATCAGAATAACCGTATCCAATTGGATGCCGTCCTCATTCTGAACAAAGCATCATTTTCTTCAACTGTTTAATGTGTGACGTTGCAGAAATGCTTATTCATGCTTATTCATGCTTATTTCTTAGTTCTATCAAGAGTGGTGGAGGAATCCTTTTGCAAAATGTAGTCTGAACCAAGAGCACAGGACATTGGACGACATTTTTCTTATCTTTGGATAGGTCCCCCGCCTAATAATTTGTAGGAATCAGCAAATGTTGCATGAATTTGTCAGTCATTAATATAGGCAAATAGTAGTTAAGATTATTAAAGGGGGTGAAGTTAGAAGATGGGCATACATTATCTATGATTTTTATTAAGGCATAGGCCTGTTTAGTTTTAATTTGTTGATTCGAGTTGAGATGTGATTTTATGTGAGAATTTTTTACTGCAGTAAAAAAGTTAGATGTGATTATTTCTGATAACTTTTTATTGTAATAAAACTCGAATCGGTGAAATGAACGAGGCCATAGTTCATTTTACTAATTCGAGTTTAGAATTTGAGTTTTGTTACAGTAAAAAATTCTAAAAAATAGTCACATTTATGGTTCGTTTAGTTTGCTAATTTGAGTTGAGATGTGACTTTATGTGAGAAATTTTAACTATAGTAAAAAAGTTAAATGTCACTGTTTATGAGACTGTAACAAAACTCAAATTTTAAATTCAAATTGGTGAAATAAACGAAACCTTAATATTTTTACTACAATAAAAAACTCTCACTAAAATATCTCAACTTAAATTAAAAATTTAAATCAACAAACTAAGAGGTTGTTCTTTTGGAGTATAACTTGAGTGTAGTTTTTGAGTTGAATTTGAGTTATTACTTGAGTTGAAGTTAGAACTTGAATAAAGTTGAATAAAATTGAATAAAATTAAAATTTAAAAAAATGTGAACTTGAATAAAATTGAAACTTGAATTGTCTTTTTTTGAGTTTTTTAGACAAAAGAACATGTCCTAAATAATATTGTTAGCTTTTGATGGGAAAGAAGCTTTACACTAGTGCTGAAACTTTGGACGGGCCGCCCGCGACCGCCCGAAAAGCCCGAGTTTTTGCCCGAGCCCGAGAAATTTGGGCCGCCCGCCCAAGCCCGAATTTCACCTTGAACGGGCCGCGGGCTTGTATTAGGCGGCCCGAGCCCGGCCGGGCGGCCCGAATTGCCCGAATTATTTAAACTTTTTTTTTAATATTAAGTTATTTTGTGTTAAAATTTATATATATATATATATTACAATTTGAAATTTGAAATGAACACACGAACTATATAAAAAAATTCTTTCTTTATTAATTTTTAAATTTATAATTCATGATTACCTCATTAAAAACTTTACCAAGAAAAACCCAATTGGGATAAAAACTTGGCAAGGAAAAAAGAGTGCAATCATATTGTGACGAATTACAAATTTTATAAACTTACAAAGTTATACAATTACAAATACAATGTCAAAGGTAAATACATATTTACAAATTACAAATTTACAATTTAATTTAAAGCTAAAGGATCGTCTTCAAAATTAAATGTTAATCGATTAAATTCATCGATCCATTATTAGCTTGCCGGTGAAATTGTATCTTATAAATGTTGATCGGCCCGATCCCAATCCTTAATGCAAACCAAGGCTTCAATCAACATTGAGTGACTGGTCTTTTAAAATAGAGATCATCAAATAGCGATGAAGTTATTAAACCAAACCAATCATTGAGTGACTTTTGATAAATTATCAATTTACTTTGGTATGCAAGTAGAAAGTTACTTTGATATAGAGTCACAAAGAGAGTGAAGAAAGTTGAAGAAAAAAGAGGATAATTAAGAGGATGAGGAGAGATTGTGAACAGAAAAATAGATAAAGATAGAAAGAATAGTGATATAGAATAGAAAAACACGAGTATCTATAAGAACAAAACCGGCATTATATAGAAACAACACTTTTTAAAAATAAAAAACAATAAAAACGTGATGGCAATGTGTTTCTTTCCTTGTGTATATTGTTTTTTGAGGAATCATTTTATCATGTGATTGATTATAAAAAAGGGTCAAGAATGTGAAAACTGAAATATTAAACTGCTAAAATAGGAATTTGCTCTTTCTATTAAGGAATTATGTGTTTACCTTAATTAAAAAGTTAAATAACAAATATGGGCATTGGGTCTAGTGGTATGATTCTTGCTTTGGGTGTGAGAGGTCCCAAGTTCGATTCTCGAAATGCCCCAATTTGTAGCAACTAAAATTTTCTGGCGGTTTTGGGCAAATCGGGTAACTCGGGCTTCGGGCAAATTTTGGGTTTTCAGGTCGGGCAATTCGGGCGGGTCGGGCATGGTCGGAAAATTCAAAAAAATTCCGGCGGACGGCGGAATAGGGCGGTTAGACGGCGGCGGGCAAGAGAGTTAGTGTCAAATTCGGGCTGCCCGAGCCCGAACCCAAAAATCTAGCTTGGGCGGGCGGGAGATGGGCTTGCCCGCCCGAGCCTCTGAAAAAATTCGGGCTTCGGCCAGCCCGCCGACCCGAACTTCCAACACTGCTTTACACTAGTAACCACTTTGATTCAGCTTTGGGCATTTTACCGGCTTTGCAACCTTCACAACTGGTTACTACGAGCCCGTTTAGTTCGTTGATTTGAGTTTTTAATTCGAGTTAAGATGTGACGTTATATGAGAGCTTTTTACTGTAGTAAAAAAATTAGATGTGACTATTTCTAAGAGCTTTTTACTGTAACAAAACTCGAATTTTAAATTCGAATCGGCGAAATGAACGGGACCTACATTTATTTCGCAATGGAGTCAACTTTTTTCGTGTAGCCTATATAATAGACATTTTAGGTTTGACGAAATTACATCTATACCCTGCATTAACTTATAACTCTGACACACCCATCTCTCTTGTCTCTCACATCAATATGTGGCCAGCAAACCTGACTCTTCCTTCTCCTTTTTCTCTTCGTACAACACATGACCAATAAAAGCTCACACTGTGGCAACTAGCACCTACGAATACTTTTGTAAAGACGTGACGAATCCTGTCCGTCCATTTCCATCGGTTGAAAATTACTTGATAAGCCTTTACATTTATTTTATTTACGAAGATAAAACGCTCTAATATTTATTTTAAGATCCGTTTAGTTCGCTGATTTGAGTTTTAAATTCGAGTTGAGATGTGATTTTATGTGAAAATTTTTATTATAATAACAAAATTAAATGTGTGTTTTTAAAAACTTTTTACTGTAATAAAATTTAAATTTTAAATTTAAATCAGTAAAATAAATAAGACCTAATTGAACTAAGAGAAACACCGGAGAAGTGAGAAGAGGATATAAATTTCTGGATTGTTATTTTTGATGTAATCGTAATTATTGTACTCTCCCCACCCACCAATTTTTAAAGCTATGTAAGGAATTTATATTGATTTTATTTCTAAAAATAAAATATTTAATGCATTGTTCATTTCAGTAATTTAATTTTAGAAGTTAAGTTTTATTATAGTAAAAAAATTTTAAAAATAATTATATTTAATTTTTTATTATAATAAAAAATTTACATATAAATTCACATTTTAATTTAAATTAAAAATTTGAATAAACTGATCTTAAATTATTAATATAACATTGAGAAACACGGGAGGAGTGAAAAGATGGTATAAATCTCCAGATTTTTTTTGTTTTCATTTACTCGTAATTATCATACTCCCACCCATCTCACGGTTTCTAAAGTCGACACGAAACTGTACCATGATTTTATTTCATGCTTGACTGTACAAAGAAGAAAGAACAAAGTTGACGAGTAAAAGTTGTTTTAGTGATTAAAGAAAGAATTAAAGGAGAATTAAAACCTCATGTTAGATAAAAAATACTAAACCGGAAAAGAAAATTAATGGGTGCATGAAAATGGAAATGAAAATATTTTTAATTTCAGACATAAATTTTTTTTGAAAATGTGTTTAATAATTTTATTAAGAGATTGTTTTCAATATAAAAAAAATCCATTAATGTCTCTTTTTGTGCTCAAAAGAGAAGAAAACAGAAACAAAAAATGAAAAACGACTAAAAATCGTTTTTCATTTTTCTCATATTTTACACTAAATTAAAAAATCATTTTCATTTATATTTTTTGTCTTTAATTATGCCAAACGTTGTTTCTCTCCCTTTTTTTTTTTTCTCAAAAAAACGTAAAAATAAAAACAAAACTAACTTCAAACACGGCCAATATAATTGTAAGAAGAAAATTTTCAATTTTCAACCAAAGCTTCGTATTAGCACTTGGTCATATTCCTCTCATAGTCGTCACGGTCATCAAGCGATATGAGACAGCAAAATCCTTCTATCTATAGTTCATTTTTTACTTTATCATTCTTTACATGCAAATGTACAAGGGAAGAATCAAATACTAATCTATGAAACAAATGAATCGTGCAAATGAAAGAAAAAATAATAATAAAATAAAAAATCAGGGGGGCACAACTTGGAAAATTCGGTCAATGCTGACCTAGTTTTGTGATTGTAAGTGAGAGACCACCAAGTGAACTTCACAACAAGAATAAGAATGATGTCTAATTCCTAGGCTGCAGCATGTACAAGAAAATGCCACCAGCAACTGATACGTTAAGAGACTCAAATTCTCTTGCCATCGGAATACTTACAAGCTCACATTCTCTCAGAGATTTCTCCGACAGGCCACGGCCTTCGCTACCCAAAACCAAGCACAATGGAAGATGAGCAAAAGAATCTGCAAGTTCTTCAGATAGTTGAAGGACTGGCTTCATTTCCTCGTGAATCTCCGGATGGCCAGCCAGCATTTTCATTTGAAGTTCTCTGTTGAGGGCTTGAAGATAGAACCAACTGCCACAAACAATAGGGAGCTGAAAAGAGGCTCCTCGGCTCGCTCGGATTGCTTTCTCGTTGAATGGATCACAACAGCCAGGAAGTAAAAAAATGCCACCCTGTTGAACATCAAACCTTGAATTAGACTTTTCAAAGAGAAACAAATAAAGTAATCCTTTTCTTGCCAAATTATATCCGAGTACGGTACAGACGAAACATGATTCTAGATTAAACATCCAAATAAAAAAGGCGGGAAACGTGCTTGATGACTTTTTTTGTTAAGGGAAAAAAAAAAGTCAAATCTAAAAGTCGGAAAATGAATTAGCAAAAGCACAGAAAATTCAGAAACAAAAGTAAATTAAAGTGAGGACTCAAGAAAGTTGAAACGCAAACTAATTCCATACCCATTTAAAGGCCATGGCTGATCTGACTAACGTACCTAGGTTACCAGGGTCCTGCAGTAAACAATCAAATGAATAAGTATAATATATGGTAAATGTTCACAAAGTTCTTGGAATCATTCAATTGTACCTTACCACTTATTGAGATCTATGAAGCAATCAACAAACTAACACTACTTAAACACCAAATATGGAAAGAAACCTTAGCTTCTTTTCAAGCAATTTATGTTGCAGCAGCAGTGGCGTGAAAAAGATTAGTGTTCACTGAGACAGTTAAATGTAATGTTTAGCTTCATATGCAAGAACCGAAAAGGCATTATGTGATTTACTTCATCATAACACCCAAAAATATGTTCTTATTTAACTTGGATATTGCCTTTACACCAGGAAAGCTCCACAAGTATAACATGTCATTTTCTAAGATGAAATACAGAATAAAAGAGTAAGTAATAAAAAATAATAAATAATAAAAAAAAAACTAGAAATGAAGAACAATCGGTGTGGCAATCACCTGGATGCCATCGAGGACTAGAATCCGATGGGCAACAGGAAACCATCTTTCACAATCTGCTACTTGTTGACTACCAACTAAATTGAAAAAACTAGAAGGAATTCTCATTAGACCAATTGCTTCGGTAGACTCAGTTGATTGCAGCCCAGAAAGTTTTTTTATGACAGCAGAGCTCACACGCACTATACGAGAGGGAAAGCCCTCTATCTCTTCAGGTATTTCAGCTTTATCAAGTACAAGTAAACAATCCATTGTGATAGTTTTCTGTTGCAACGACTCTTGAAACCTATATATCTCCCTGAAAAGTTGTAAAATGCCAAAACATCATCATTTACAAATTTCAAATACAGGTACTATTCTCTTAAGTTTAAATTACTATGAATTTCTAGAGGATTATACAAGGGTCCTTCCAAAGCTTAAATCTATAAGAGAGGGAGGGGACATATTCAAAATATAACAGTCAAATGAAATATTCTAGAAGGAAAACAGAACTTATAGAGAGAGGAGAATATGAAAATGAAAGATGAGCAAGGCCTAGCTCAAATGTGAGCTGAGGTAGAAAAGTATTATTTATACCCAATATTGCTAGTACAGAAGAATCAGCTATACACTTGTCAGAATCTAAAATAACAGAATTGATTAGATGCTGCACAGAGTACTATACAAGCTGTACGCAAGTATATTTATATTTTACATTCTAACATCCCCCTCAAGCGAATGGTGCGAGGCACCACCTTGCTGCGCAGAGAGAATTATCGAGAAGAAGGCAGACGATTGGTCATTGTGTCAGCTAGTTGGTCACTGGAAGGAGTGTATTCAATAGTGAGAATTTTGTCCATAACTCATTCATGAACAAAGTGGAAGTCAATTTCGATGTGCTTGGTGCGAGCATGAAGCACAAGGTTTGCTGCAAGATGAAGTGTGCTGATATTATCACAGATAAGCACCGGTCTGTGAAGTAGAGGAATTTGAAGTTCAATGAGAAGGGTATGAAGCCATAACACTTCAGTTGCAGCATTTGCAAGGCCACGGTATTCAGACTCAGTGCCACTTCGAGAGACTACACGCTATTTTGTTGAAGACCAAGAGATGATGTTGGGTCCAAGAAACGCGCTGGTGCTTCTGCGGTCATCAGGACTAGAGGCCCAATCAACATCAATGAAGCAGGACACAAAGAAATCAGAAGAGGTCTGGAATGATATGCTGTAGGAAAGTGTACCGCATAAGTAGCGAAGTATTCTTTTAACTGCGTTCCAATAGGATGTGGTTGGAGCATGCATGTATTGGCAAACCTTGCCAACAGCGAAGCTAAGATCAGGTCTAGTAATGGTACAGTATTGCAAAGCTCCAACAACCTGCCTGTAGGTGTAGGATCAGCGAGAGGTTCTCCATCATATAGAGAAAGTACTGCATCAGAGGCCATAGGAGACGAGGCACTTATGCTGGTGGTTGGTAGCATCAAGCTTCACTCAAATAGGTTGATTGAGTGAAGGAAACGCTTGAAACTGGTTGAGCGGGAGGTGGCTTTAATTTTGTTGCGGTGGAAATTGAGAAGCTAGGAGAGCAACTTATGCTGGGTTAGGTTGAGGATTGGGTCGAACTTGAAGCAGAAGAGGAGCTTGAACTGGGTTAGGTTGAGGGTTTTCTTTAGGATTGTCAGCCATTGTTGATGGATTGAGGGGAGCCCAATGGCTCTGATACAAAAACAGAAATTATAGAGACGAGAACGAGAATGAGAGATGAGGAAAACCTAGCTCAAAGGTGAGCTGAGGGAGAAAAGTATCATTTATAGTTTATACCCAACATTGCTAGTATAAATAATCAGCTATTCAACTGTCACAAATCTAAAATAACAGAATTGATCAGATCCTATACAGAGTACTATACAAGCAGCTGTACACAAGTAAATTTAAATTTTACATTCTAACAAACAAAAAACCAAACCTAACAAATGTCAAATGCTAAAGAAGAAGAAGAAGAAGAAGAAATGGGGACATTATTTTTTATAATAAAGCAAATAATGTTAAAAGGTTTTCTGTAGTTAGCAAAACGCATTCTCAACTAAGATTAAATAGAGGTCTTAAGCTGAAATAAAATAAATGGCCTGGGATTAAACAGGTCATGGAGATACTGAGTTCTTGCCTGTCTATAGATGAAAACTCAAAACTACACAAAATCCTAGTGAACCAAGGAGTATTTTCTGTGAGAAGCATTTTATATCCTCATCAATGATCATCTTGCAACCATTTTCACCAGCTCTCATACATTATCTTATTGAGGACAAGCAACAAATAATAGGCCAATCAGATATTTATGTGATATTTGTGTAGAATTGGTTCTCCATTTAGGTCTATATAATCATAAATATGTCAATGGGAAGAATAGTGGTTACGAAGAAATGTGGTCGGATGTTATAGGAGTAAAAGGGAGTTTAAACAAAAATCAAGTCCCACTTTTCCAAAGCTCTTTTGCAGCCGAATTCTCGAGTAGCTAACAACAGAAAATGAAATTCCACTGCAGATTTTTTACTCTTCATTATTTTTTCCCGTTATTCTTCTTTCTTTTATCTAATTGTTATTATTGTTAACGAAGAGCCCAGAGAAATTTAAACGAAAAAGTGAAGGAATAGAGAGAAAAACCTGAGAGGGGTAGCGCCAACAACGAGGGCTGAGCCATGAGCGTGGCGATAAGAAGAGCTATGGCGGAGCTTAAGGCAATGTTTGACAAATGGGTTTGAAGTGCTTGTAATGGATTTCACATGAGAAGGGAGGGAAATATTCGCAGCCACAGACTCGAAGAGTTCACCATTTTTGTCTCTTGAGTTACTCTGGAAATGGGGTTGTCTTCCTGGAGTTGATAGCTGCGAATTTCTTGCTCTCAGCTTTGAGGGATAAGTAGTTGTTACTAAGGATGTGTTCATGCATTGCATTTTCTCTCCCAAGTCTGCATAGAACAATTGAGAATCTTTTATGGGCAATAAAATTTAGTCCCAATAAAAAAACCATCAAATGAGGAAGTCTCATACATTTCTTTTTCTTTTCTTTTTTTTTTTAATTATTATCTTCTTAGATACTAGAATCGATTAGCTAAATAGGAAAAATAAAGATAAAAATAAAAACCTTTAGAAAATGTACTCGTTCATTTTGCAGATTCGAGTTTAAAATTTGAGTTTTGTTACAGTAAAAAACTCTCAGAAACAATCACATCTAACTTTTTTGTTACAATAAAATGGTGCGTTCGTTTGGGCTATTAAACTTGAGTTAGCCCAATTCAATTTGAGTTTTGAGCTTAGTTGACTGTTTAGTAACCCAAACTCAAAGTCCATACTCAAGTTAGAGTTGGAGTTATGAAACATCAGCTACCCCCTCAAATTTTAATAACTCGAATCTGACTGCTACAGTTCATATTCTCTACAATTAAAAACTCAAATTAGCGAACCAAACGTAGAATGTAATCTCATAGTTAAAAGTTGTATCGAATTCAATTTGACGATTAAAAGTTACGTTATAATGGTAAGATATTTTTCATACATTGCCATAGAATCCACCTTTAATCTTGACGGGAGCTAATGCTTTATTAATTTGTCATGTTTACATAAATAATGTAAAAATCATATTACGTGTGTAACGTCCCGAAAATAATAAAAACATAAAGGGTTTATTTAAATCAACTATTTCCGTAAAAACGTGATCGACTCAAAATAATAATAAAATTACTGCCTTGTAAGGGCTTAAAAGTTCATAATAATACATTTAGTCCTAATCCGTAAAAATGTTTCTTAAAATAATACAGCACCGTCACGAGCCGTACAGTATCGTTCACACACAGCAAATACAAAAATTCCGAAACTTAGTGCATGCCTGATTTCTGCATATAACCATCAGAAATAGATGTGGCATGACTCACGATTGGCAAAAAAGTTGGGCTTTAAAGGAATTGCCACAAGTTTTAAGCTTAAATTGATATATGCCTGAGGACATAAATTCTTGAAGAGAATATCATAGTCACGTCATCATATTATATTTAGAATATTATACGCTTAGGATACCGGTAGGTATTCAACCATAATACCAGTATCCAATCGAGATACCTGTTTGTACCTGGCCACAAAATCAGTATCCAACCAAGATACCCGGAGGATAACTGCTAGTATTGGCAACAGTAGTCGCCGGTAGCTACCAACTACTAGCGCCAGTATTGGTGGCAATATCTAACCGAGATATTGACTGATATCCGCAAGAATATTGGTTACCAACTGGAAACCACTAGGTCACTGGCCGGTAACCACCGATTATCGGCATGTACTGCCCAATTCCGCCAAGAATCGCCGTTATTGGCGGCCGCAACCAGAACTTGCAATATCTGGACGTACTTATGGTATCGTGGCCGGTAACTAACAGTATCCAGGCAAAAACACCATAATTGGTGGTAGTACAACCATCACCATTACTAGAATACCTAAAATCTCAACAAATTCACAAAAATCCACTTAGCCTCCTATGAGGTGATATTTCCGGTGAGATCTCCCCTGCTCAGAGATCTCTCAATCCATGTCGTCGTGACAAGATCTCTGAAATCTCCTTCACCAGCGGAGGAATGCATTAACGAAAAAAACATTGCAGATCTGTGCCATAGACGAAGAGGTGACGGTAGAGAGACGATACAAGGAGGAGCAATCCACGGTGACATCACGATCCCCCACGCAGATCTCGTGCCATTGATGGAAGAGGTGGTGGCAAAGAGGAGACAAGGAGGAACAGCCCATGGCGACGTCGCAAAGGAAGGGAATGGCCATGAATCTCTAGCAAAAGATCTCCACAAAGGTAAAAAATCTCCAGTCAGCCCACGGTGACTGCGCGGAGCGAGAGAGAAAGGGAGAAGGAGAGAGAGAGAGGGAGGGAGAGGGGGAGAGGGAGAGAGAGAGGCAGAGGGGGGGGGAGAGAGAGAGAGGGGGGGAGGGAGAAGGGGAGAAAGGGAGAGAGAGAGGGGGGAGAAGGGGGAGAGAGAGAGAGAGGGGGAGGGAGAGGGGGGAGAAAGAGAGAGAGAGAGAGGGGAGAAGGGGGGAGAGAGAGAGAGGGAGGGGAGAAGGGGAGAGAGAGAGAGAGAGAAGGGGGGTTTAAGAGAAGAGGGTGAGAGGAAACAAGGAAAAACCTAACCTAATCAGAGTAAGGACATTTTAATATTCTTAATTAAATATTTATTCTACCACATGGTAAAAAAATTGAATGTTTAAAGTGACCCCGGTAAAACTCAATCAACACTTAAAAGTTACGGCACGTACCCTAAATATTTCCTAAAACTCTAAAACATGAGTTTGTAATCCATTCTTAGCAACAGCAATTCAGACCTTGCTTGGCAAAAATGGAGAAGCGGTTCAAATTTAAAAACCACATCAACATTAAACATTGATTACAAAATATTAAATGGGATTAAATAGGAAAGTCAAAATCGTAAGAAAATCCGAAAAGTAGTACATTAATATTATTATAAAAAGGGAAAATTTCATTTTAGTAATTTCTCTTATATCGAAATTTGAGTTTGGTATATTGTGTTTTTGAAAATTTCATGTCAGTACCTTGACCTTCTAGAAAATCTTTTTTTAATACCTCGGAGCCATTTTTTAGGACACAAAAAGATAAAATTGCCCTTATTGTAAAAATTCATCTGTTGACTAGAATTTTAAAAAAAATTTTAAAAATTGTTATACCTGTAGGGCATAATCTTTTAAAAAAAAAAAAAATTGTTATACATGTAGGGCATAATCTCTTTTTTTTTTTTAAATTCATCTCTTCAAAATCCTTTTTGAAAATCTTTTTTTTTCTTCAAAATTCTAGTCAACTGATGAATTTTTATAATAAGGGCAATTTTATCTTTTCGTGTCTCAAAAAATGGCTTGGAGGTACCAAAAAAAGATTTTCTAAAAGGTCGAGGTACCGACATGAAATTTTAAAAAACAGAGTACCAAACTCAAATTTTAATATAACAGATAATATTAAAATGAAATTTCCCTATAAAAAAAATAAGCTCACAAACATAAAAATAAAAAACTCACCATATAAGGAACATTTCCAAAATAATTCGTAAAGGCATACTGGGTATAATATTTGCCTTATTAAAGACAAATAGATAGTTTTGTAATATTATATGACAGTAGACATTTTTAAATTCAGATTATGAAGTAGACACTTTATGTAATTACTTCAAAGCTGAAGCCATTTTTGTCTGCAAACTAGTGGGATTCTAGTTTTACTATGCATCTGCTTTTATCAAGCAGGAAACAAGTCATAATTGTCATCCAAGGCAGATTAAGACTATATTTGCTTCCTTAAACCAGATTCTCACCCACCACCAATTATGACTACAATTATTATCTCAAGTAAAACTTTTAAGGAAAAAGAAACCAAAAGAAAATTCTGACAAAAAATTTGATGCGGTCCAGAAATCTACTTTTTTTTTTCTCAGAAGAAAAAAATAAATTGGTTCATAGATTCAAATCATATGATTAGAATCATTTTCGATTTACGTGTATTTTTTGTGAGAGAAAATACTGTAATGAACCACGAACCATGATTCGAATCAGAGAACGAATCTAGGTACCAAACGGAATGATAATGTTGACGATAAATGGAACAAAGTCTCAACCTCATTCTGCTCCATCAATCTTCTCAAGTACATGGGGAATGAGATGGGGAACTTTACCATAACGTACAACGAACAAGTGTGGTACAAGGTTTTCAACAGCAAAGGCGATGTCTAGAGATCATGGAAAACAGTACATCGACTTTCTAGCTAACGTCAAATGACCATTATTTCGTAGGATCGAGTTTTTTTTATTTTTTTATAACCTTTACAAACCTCCGAACAGGATATACAATAGATCAGATAGCCGCGGCCGGCAAGACAATCCTCTAAGCAGTTTGTACAGCAACAATGTTGATAATTCCACTCCTTGCAGCTGTTTTATGTTAATTTAAAACTGAGCAAAACCAGCGTTTGATGACAGCATACATCTTGCCTCGACGGCCAATGTCTTTACAATGCCCCGACATGGATCACCAAATACGAGGTTTGAAATTTTGACGGAGCAGTTGTTTCTTCCTAAGCAGGCCTGCGTGAAGGATATGATCAAATTGGAATGTCATTTGAAACACACTAACAAATTTAGTATAAATCAACTAATCAAAGGTACACGTATTTATATGTTGTATATATATCGACACACACAGAATCATCTAGTGCTCCAAGTGCGTGAATTTATGAAACAAAAACCAAGGAAAGGTTCAGACATGGTAACTCAATTTTAGTAACTGGTACTACATTGGTTTCGACATCTAGAATTGTTTGGTCGGACGAAAACGTGAGAGGGGGGCAGAGGAAAATGGGTGAGTGTATTAGTGGAAAGACTTTGGGATTGTTTGGAGGGAGAAAGAAGTGGTGGGAACGAATTGTGTGAGAGATTTTAAATCCTTCAAAGAACCGCAATACACTCACCCCTCTCCCTAATAGGGAGGGAGTAGAGAAGGGAATATGTAGCGAACAAAACAGAAGAAAGGTCCTTCCCCTTCCTTTCCATTTTCCTTACCTAGCTTATACCTTTATTTCCTTTCCTATTGTGACTGCAATATTGTAACGAGTAAATGTCTTAAGAAAAAATATAAAAAGATTTATGAGTTCCGTACCTCAGAAACCACAGTTGATGAATTGGTTGCATGGCATTTGCCAATAGAAAACTCCTGACAGCCACCCATAGGAGTTCCATAGCTAGCAAATTCAATGGATGAGATCATGTAACCATCTTGACAGTACAAATGCATTTCTGGTGTGAGATCATTGACGGACAGTCTTCCATCAAAAGAACCTCGGGTTAACGACCACTTGTGTAAAGGTGGATAATGAGACTCTGAGACTTGAGCACAAATAATACCAGTTGCACGCAACTTGATAGAAATATCAAGTGGATTCCCTCCCGTTTCCTCAAAGATGACAAGTAAGTTATCGGAATCGTTTAACCATGAGCGTGGTACATGGTACCTGGGGATCAATAGGTACTGTAATATTAGGCACCGAAAAAAGTTTCCAATTTGATAGACAGACTAAAACTATATAGTAGTCTTCTATTCTACGCACGGGAATTTAATACATTAATCAACAGTATTGCATCAATCTAACAATGTTTTTCGCTAGTTCTGTCTTTGTTTTTTGACATATGATAGTTTTGACTTATTTTTATATTGGTCTATTTTGGTATACGCACCAAATTTGAGTGGGCTTCCCACAATTGAATGCACACTTATCCGAGTTGTACGCCCCACGGTAGTTGCAAACTTTTTGACATCCATCTTTTGGGGCAACCAGCGTCCAGTATCTTCCGATATGGTGGCCATTGACCCAGGCCTGGCCCTTTCCCATGCTTCCCAAATCTAAAGTGACTGGATCTGTGCCAGCAGGGACATCAAAATATGTCTGCATGGATTGGAAGGAGAAAAAACCATTTGTAAATAAAGAGGTTGGATTATCACATATACGCATTAGTAGAGCAGGATAAAGCAAGCACCAGGAACTACATGGAGCTAACTTATCTTTGAAATGTCGCTCTGATTCGCTATTGAGACAATTGTTTTCTTGTTACAGCCATTTAAAATATAAAGTCAATCACGCAAGTAGACAGAATCACAATTGTAAACTTTTCCAAACAAATAAATTTACCTTGTACCATGTAAATATCGATGGATCAGCACCTGGAGTAAAATCAGTCCACTCTGATTTTTCATTTTCTTCAACTGCATATACTTTCAAGAATTCCCCCTTGAGCCCGACCTAGAAACAAGTTGAACGATTCAGAATCCACTTCACTATAACCCAATTTAAATAGAATTAAGTTTCTTAAAATATGTCAAATTACAAAAATATTCACGAAGATGAAAAGCAAAGAGAAGATAAAAAAGATTACTGATGGAGGTGTAGTCACCACTTAATAGTTTCTATACGTTGATTAGGAACCAATAAACAAATACATGCTGTACGAATTGACAGAAAGGACAGTTTTTTTTTATAGGAGACAAAAAAAAAAAAAAAGAGGAACAGTTAGACAACTAAATCTCTTGAACCTTGGTTCTGTTCGTGCTGATCCCTAAAATTATTTTTGATCAGCTTTAGTGATAGTATTTCTTAACAATCACCTTGTATTGATCTCTTTTTATCAATAAAGGTTAAATGTTTATTATCAAAAAAAAAAAATATATATATATATATATTCCATCTTTTTAAGGTTTTGGATGGGAAAATTTTGATAATTCTCCACAGTTAAAAACTCAGTATGCTAATTTCTATATGTAAAAATCCAAGTTTCATAATTAGAGGGACAAGAAGGGATTCCAGAGTTTTTGGGTCATGAAAAAGAAAGAACCAGAAAAATATCAGCTCAATTTCAATAGTATTTATTAGCATGCCAACAGACATAGAACCAGAAAAATATCAGTTCAATTTCAATAGTATTTATTAGCATGCCAACAGACATAGAGGTCAACAAAAGTCAGTTGTCTTTGTTACCATGCCAACACACACAGGTAAAATGGCAGTTAGTTGCAAGACCAATCAAATGATCAATAAAGTATGGAAAGGAGGGAAAAGGTTAAAAGAAAAAACCTAACACTTGGATTTTTATAATCAAATCCAAAACAGAGCAAAGCAAACCTTGAATTTATTGCATACCTGGTATGTCCATAAAAACTTGGAGAGGTCTATATCTCCATTCCTGAATCCAGTAAGTTTAATTTGCCCTCTAAATCCTCCTCCATCTTTCTCCAATAAAGCGCCATAATTCTGTATCATGATCATCCACCATATCATAGAATAATTATGAGAAAGTTTTAAGAAAATTTTTTGACAATTGGCTAGGAAATGCTGAATGTACCTGCAAGCCAACTGTTTGAGATAAGAGCACCAAATCATTATAACCTCGGACAAAATGAACAGGCTGAAAGACGTTAACCCAATGACCTATCACACTGCCTTCATTTCAGGAAGTCGCAACTTATGTATTAGTTACCACTATATAAAGGTAAGAAGTACTAGTTAATAAACGCATAAAGTGATGACTAGGATATAATAGGCAGCATAGTCTTCCTTCTCAAAAAGATTCAAGAACTGAAACAAAACTTAGCATCTGGGTAATTGCTTCTATACAAGAAACAGTGTGCATAAGGCGATTGCTTACCTTGAAGCTGGCCATTAACAAATACACGCAGCACATCGCGCATGCTATCAATTTTAACTGCTGGACTAATATTGTTTTCTTCCCAAAATAAGATGTCATCGTCTGAAACGTATATTCTACATTCAAAATGAGAATTGATCACGTATTAAAAGACACCATTAGAAAGTAATGGGAAAGAAATAAATAGACTGACCAAAGAATTGGAATGATTAGATGCGAGGAGAAACAACATTTAAACATAATTAAGACCCAAGTATACCCATCCTACACTAGACAAGATAGCTCCACCCAAAGAAATGTTTGAACAAAAAGAGCGTCCAATCTGATTAGTCTGCGTCTAAAAAAGAATGAAATACAGCTTCATAAAGGCAACATTTTTTTTTTCTTTAGGGGGAAAAAAAAAAGAATGAAAGAAACACAACTTCATAGCGGCAATCTGATTTCACCACAACCATATTCAAGAACAATGATTTTACCTGGTTATATACCATAGATAATCAGAATAGTCTTTTGTCACATTTAAATGCTCTAATATACCCTCGATCGTAAAATTGTTCTCACTCCAAACACCAATTGGCTCTTTAATAGTCATCCAGGACTTGGTGACATGGAAACCATTATTCTCAGTGGAGAATTGTTGGTTCAAAGAGACATCTGAAGAAAAGGGCAAACTAGACTCCACAATTTTGATTGAAGTTTGTGCCCCGACCTATGCAAATATGGATAAACAGGAAAAGCATTCAGCAATATACCAGAGTTGAGTCGTGAACATTTCAATAATGTAGAAAAAATGGACGAAAGGACAGAGCACCAAGAAAAAGCTCATGGTGAGAAATGAATGATTGCTCTCCATCATCCTCATATTCAAAACAAAAGTTCATCCAACATGTATCTTGGAAAAATAAAGACGTGTGTGTGTTCATGCAACATGCATACGTGTCTCTGAGTGTATTCTTGTTGTGCGCATTAAAGTAAAAAAATAGGCATTTCAACAACAAAAGGAAAAAAAAAAAAAGAAGAGTAAAGAAATCGGACCCAGCCACTTTAGAGGAAATGCTGTCAACGAGTACTCAATGGTCACTCATTAAAGGCCAAATGCATACGAATAAAATCACACCTTAGCAGTGTTGAACACCACGCTCTTGCAGTCTGGCAAAATACTAACTGACCATGGTGGTAAGGTATATTTTTGACCAAGGAATGTTACACTAGCAGATCTATGTTCATCAATGTTTGCAAGAAAAGCAGAGCAACTGCTTTCACTTCTGTATATGCTGAAGTTTAAGTTGCCAGCGTGCATACTTTCACGGTATACATGTGCCTGAAAAAATTACCCAACCATAATTATCTGAGGAAAAGTGAGACATGAACACAAATGAAAAAGGGAAAAAAATGCCAGCGGAAAACAATCCTTGTTAGTTCTTCGGATTTAAGCCACAAGCAATAAATCATCTAACCAACTTTTATTCTTGCCATCATTCATAGACATCTATACTAATACTTTCCCAACAGAATGTGATGGGAGAAAATAATTAATCCCATAGTGCAAAGAGTTTGAAATAAGCTCATTTCTTTCCATAGCAATTAAAGACCCAACTCTTCAACTAAGCAACCAGTATACATTAGAAAAAAAAAAATTAGGAATCTGAATAGAATATTTATATTCAACATAAAACTTGGCGCTGTGGTGATGTATCTAGTTTAACTCTCAATTGCATGTAACTTCTTCACTCTAGATCAATAAACAACCTTGGAAACTTATTTTGTAGCCACTATATATGACCATCGGATCTCAAGCGTCACTGAATGTTTTGGCGAACCAACTAATGACTAGCAGCTCATGTTCCATATAACGTGCAGGTAATTATTCCAATTCAGCAGTAAAACTCCACATGGGCAATTTTCCAAAGGAAAAAGGTAGATCAAATGGTAAAAAAGGGAAAACAGGTCCCAGTTAAGTTTTCCTTTTTCTAGAACCCTTTTTACTTGCCTTTGTGATCAGGAAAGGAAAAGTGCATTAAAAGGTACATCAACTGACGAGAATGATAAACGACCACAGTGGAAAAGCAAGATCCTAGAATAACAGAACATGAATTTTTTTTTTTTTGAATTTATATGTCATCGGCAGAGTTAATTGAGCATGTTATTAAGGTGACACTAGAAATCAAAAAGCTAAGAAAAGTGGATATAATAGGGGTTACAGTTTCACAAACCTCCTGCTTTGGTCCCAATTTTATATACTGCGGAGAATCAGCAGCAACCAACGCAGGTTCACAAAGCCTTATAGCAGCATGCAGATCCTTCAGATGTCCCCATTTAGGCTCACTCAGTAAACCTACACAAGTAATCACACCTAATCAACTTCACCATATTGTGGCACTTATACTCACCCTTAAATTTTAGAAAATCTATGGGAAACTTGACTCAAGCGGGTAAAAAAAAAGTAAATAAATACACAAAAGACAAGGGGACAACTGCAAATAATTTCGGTTATTTGGAGATGTCACCCACCGTATTCATCAATCGGAGCATCATAGTCATAACTAGTAATATAAAACGGGCCCCCAGAAGTCCGACCAAAGTTTGTTCCACCGAAGAACTGCGACGTAGAAGGATTGTCAAGGAGTAGAATGTACATATTATTAATGGGGGAAAGAATAATGATATACGACAAATATGATTGATCTTGAAGTAATATAGGCAATCATGTTTCATTTTAAGTCCCATTTTCAAATTAAGATCAATGGTGAGGTTTTTTTTTTTTTTTTTTATTATTATTATTAAGAGACATCCTTAATTGATGACAAAATAAATTACAGAGGAAAAGAGGACAAGATAATATCAATGGTAAGTTACATACTAGAACCCCAAGAGTCTTCCATACATTCACCTTACTACAATTTCAGTAGCCATTCCAAACATATCAGCCCAATGACCCTCCAATTGCTTACACAAAACTTTACAAGGAGACAAAAGAATAAGGCAAGAAAGAAATAACTTTAAACATGTTCGACCAGAAGAAGAGCACCAACTTGAACTTTTTGCGACGTAGAAGGTGAGGTAGAAAATATCTACATTATCAGTATTTGATTCTTTCTCGACAAAGCTCTATTTTTTTTTTCCTTTTTTTACTTGAAAGATAAAACCATATTCTGCAAAAGAACTTTGGTCAATTTTAATCATAGTCTGACATCATACCATATAGTAGTTCTGAAAGCTCCCTCCACGTTGGAAAAAGCGTGCAACAGCAAATGCAAGGTCTTCAACAGGTCTGTGAGGCAATCTCCCACCCCATGACGTATACCTTCAAAAACATCAACCTAAAAAAGATAAATTTATCACTTACAAAGAAACCAGATTTGCACCATAAATTGAAATCCAGTTAATAGTATTGATAGGCTTCCAAACAATAGTTGCATTAAAAAGTCAAAGATATGTATATGTACATGTCCAAGGGGTAAGGACACTTTAAGAGATGAAGAAACAGTTCGATAAACCACAATTTACACACACACACACACACACACACACACACACATATCTTCTAGTGTGGAGGGAATTGGACATACATAGAGTAAACAAATAATCGATTTAATTCAAGTCATAATTCATTTGGGATTCCCAAATTTATCAATGGAACCTCAAAAATTCGAAAAATTATAGATGAATGTGAAAAGCATACTGTGTGTGTGTGTGTGTGTGTGTGTGTGTGTTGTGGTGGTGGAGGGCAAGGAGGGTGGCAAGAGGTGAGTAAAAGGTTCTTTAGATGGAGAGAGAGAGAAAGCAATAAACAAAAAACAGAAAACAAAAGAAAAAGGGACACCACACAATAACAGAAGAAATCTTAAAACATAAGACTGATGACATGTCATGAGATATATCGTACCATCCATCCCAATTTTCAGTCCAAATTGTTGGTTTGTTATAGGAATTTGGCTTGTAACCATCACAGTAATATGCATTGCATGCATCGATCTGTAAACAAACAAAATTGTAAATAGCAGTATAAAAATGCACTTAATGTACTTTCACAGTGATCACTCGTGATATTTTCACTTGTATCTATCCAATTTTATTGCAATAACTAATTATAAATTTATATAAGTTAAAACCAAGGTTTAAAATTGCGCAATTGGGTACTGAGGCATTTTCTTTTTGTGAGGCAAGGCGTTTAAGTTAAAACACATGCACGCACACAGGCTAAGAACTTACAATGTCATATGGGGCATCAGTTTGCCTGCACATCACCCATGGAACCCCAGCACCAAGGCCCAAAGCCATCTTAGCTGCCCATTTAACATAGTCCTTTCCTTTCTGCCCAAACGTCCCCTCAATATTTCCGTATTCATTTTCAATCTGATGAATTTTCATTAAGAAGGATATATAAGCATAAACGTGCGAACTAAAATAGCTGAACAATGTATACAAATTACTCAATGTGCAAGTGGAATTATAATTTAAGAGAACCATGCAATGAGTCTAATATAAAGCAAGCTGAGAACTAGATATGAACTAGATAGGAAAGGCACCGTCACCACTCAGATCAGAGTTAAGACTAAAAGAGGCTGCTTTTTTTTTTCCACGTGTAACAGGTGGGAGTCACAGTTAGACTTGAAGCCAGAAAAGATTGCACAAACCAAGAGCACTCGGATGATGGTGGTGTTAGGAAACTTGGATAGTGGAATTCTATCCTACGTATGTGTGATTCTAAAATAACAATATCTTACAACGATATGTGCCAGAGGAAATAAATAAGACACCCACAAGTACTCTTTCCTTCCCCACTAAAGCATCCTAAAATAGTAGTCCATTAAACAATAAGATGTTTTTTATCATCATTTGAAACGTCACAACACAGAAACTGCCCAGATTTCATTTGAAGAATAAAATCCAAATCCCAGTTATAAATGCTCAAATTTAATCGCTGACAACCTGCAGCATGATGATAGGACCACCTTGCCATGAGAAAAGCTTTTCCTCTTGCATCAAATCCACAATTTTTTTAACAAAACGTTGCATTTCCTCCTAGGGGAAAAAAGAAGTAATATAAATCCTTAAGTTTTGAAATAAAATAAAAAAGCAAGAAAGAAAAAGAACTACAATGTAATAAGGGACACAAATGCGCAAGCAAAAGAACTGTAAACAGTCTGTACCTTGAAAGGAGGATTGTCTGTTCTAAATTCTATGCCAGGGATGTCACGCAACCACACTGGGAAACCTCTGCACAAGTAGTTCCAATAGAACAAGATTGTCAAGTAAGAATTAGATCTGTTTTTTTTAATTTCTTTTTCCTGAAAACTAACAACGCTAAAACGTTAGAATTAATTAGTTGCACAGTCAAGATAACATTCTTCTTAATGTCCCATTTTAAATGTATTCAGTAAGCTACTAAGCTCAAACTCAAAGCTTTTTATTTGAAGCAATATGAGGCCAGGAATCTCAAGCTTCGGATCAGGAAGAGGGGACATAAGTTACCACTCTTAGATCTGTCATTTGAAAACATTAATACACGTTCAACTCATAACAGTTCGTCTTGACATTTTAAGATTAAATCCCCAAGAGTTTTCCTTTTATACATAGGAAACAAACTGTTTAGAAAGGATAACAAAAGTACAAAAAGAAGAGGACAAGGGATCCTCAAGAAACTTATGCAGAAACAAGTATCAACAGAACAGATGAACAAGAAACCCGAACAAAGAAATCCTTATAGCAAGAGAGAAGACTCGAAGAGGAAACAATTATAGCAAGCACACATATCTATGTCATGCATCAATGAGATATAGCAAGGAAAACTGAAGTAGTAATGTGGCATCATCTTTCTTGGATGGAGTTATAAACTTGAGGAAGTAAACTTCTTTAAAATCATAACAAGAAAGAAGACCATACCCAAAATTCCACTCAGCACACGCGTAAGGACCTATCCGGAGAAAGAGATATAGTCCATTGGATCCCACTAGCCTGATGAACTTAACAATATCATACCTCCCTTCAAAGTTATACTAACAAAGAAGTTCACATGAAAGGTCAATATTTTAGTAGAATTAAATTGTTTGTACTCAAGAAATGATAAAACTCTATAACCGTGGACTATCTCCACAGAGAAGCAATGGCACCTGTCCTCTCACAGGCTCGTGCCCATTCCAGAATGTGTAAGACTCAATCACATCTGCCCCGCCTTCCTTGCTCTTTGCAATCAAATCAGGCCACATCTGAGTGATAAAACGAACAAGATATTTTAAGACAGGAACAAAAGAAAAATGAGGTTAAGCATTTAAGAAATTCCAATCTAATGTCTTTAGAAAAAGATGTAGAAAAAGATCAGATGAACTTCGTCTCCTGATGGCCTAGAAACATGCGGAAATTTCACAGATAGAGCAGATTATTTAACTATAAAGAAGAATTTTACGGTAGGATATGACTAAATAGCCTACTAGTAGAGCACACTTCCAAAAGTCGGATCTTCATTAAATATTGCTAAATTGACATATTCTTCTTAGTCTGATATAACGCTATTGTGGTTTTACACTAAAAAACTATGTCCTATAAACAGAGTACTTTCTTTTATGCCCCACCACAGAATTCTCCTATTAAAAAAAAAAAAGGGCTTTTTAGAAATATAGAGAAATTTTACTAGACATGTTGAAATATAGCAAAAATTAGGTGTGTTCATCGAATCTGCCAATCCGTCCAATCCGCATAACCCAATCCAATCCGGCGGATTGGATGGATTGGATTGAAAGAATTTTAGATTGATAATGGATTGAGATTTTCTTAATCCGCAATTATGGATTGGATTACAGATTGAGCATTTCTCAATCCGCATAATCCGTCAATCCAACCTATATATATTATACGTATTTTTAATAACATATATAGAAAAATATATAAATTATTATCAAAGACATTATTTATTGAAGTTTGTTTGCTATGACGGATTTGAATTTTACATTTAAATAATTGTCAAAGACTTGAATTTTATGTTAGATTTTGTGCTGTAATGAATTAGATTTTTTGGAACTATTTTAATTTTATGTTATGTTATGTTTGTCTTTAATTTTGTTTCTAATTTAGGCCTACAAGAGTCAAGGTCCAATGTAGGCCAGTCCGTGAATCCGCATAATTCAATACACGGAATCGTTGTTTTTGGATTGGATAGGGGTCTCACGGATTAGTAACGGATTGAGATTTTTCCAATCCGCGGTAATAGATTGGATTGCAGATTAACTCCAAATCCACGTAATCTGATCCATGAACACCCCTAACAAAAATAAATATCATTTTAATAAGTACTACGGAATTTTGTAAGCTGTGTTCATTTTACCATTCTAATCACAACTTTAACTTTTTGCTACAATGTTTTCACTCACAAAAATTCAAACTCAACTTTTTCTACTATAGTGTTTCTCTCACATGAATTCACTTTCAACTCAAGTTCTCAACTCGAACAACGAAACGACATTGAACATCATTATAATAACTACTACGTAGTTTTTGCTATTCCTAAAATGTTTTTAAATGTGCTACATTTTCAACTCCGCTCTCAAAAATTCACCATGTAGTTTAATTTTTAGTGTAGGCTTTACTATCTCAGAATTCAGGCGCAGTTCAGTGCGTTAGTGCTTGTATGATCATACTGATCCCCAGCATATCTGAATGGATTAATTCATATTGGTCTAATGTTTATTGTTTGGATTCCTATTTGAGCTAATGTTTTTAAGTCTTACTTGGTCAGAACAGCATAAGACGATCAATAGAGGAAAGCAAGTCCCAGTTGGAAAAATTGAAAAAAAAAAAATACAAAACAAAAAACGAACGAAAAAAATAAACAAAATGGAAAAAAAAAAAAAAAAAAAAAAAAGGAAAAAAAAAAAAAAAAAAAAAAGAGTATGAAGCAAAAAAAAAAAAATTTTGACGATTATTCAGTTGCTTCCTAATCCACTTTCCATAATCAAATTAGAGTAAATATTGACCGAAAGAGTTATAATTCAAAAAACCAAAGCCTCTGATTCCTAAAACAATTTGCTCCATCGAAACTCATTTTCCCGTTGAATATTTCCACCAACCAAACACCGAAAAACAAGAAGGAAATTCGGAACCAAAACTGAGAGAGAGCGAAATTCTGAAGGTACCTCGGGAGTGGCGCGGGGGTAGTGAATGCCGGCGGAGATGAGCATGCGACGCTTGCCGTCGATGATCAGAGCTCTGTGGTCGTAGCTTACGTTGAACGGCTTGAAGAATTCCGCGTCGGCCACCACCAATTGAACAGCAAGGCACAAAAGCAGCCATCGGAGCCTGATCCAAGCTCTCTGATATTCCATTTTCTTAGAGAGAGAGAGAGCCGGGCATAGGCGTTTGCGACTTGCGTGCTGTATGCAGAGCAGCGGAGTAAGCAAGAAGATAACAAAATTTTAAAAATAAAAATAAATGGCTGTTTAGGACAGGAACTGGCACCTAATCCAGTTATGAAAGATGTCCGATTGGTGAAATGGGCAATAAATGGTTGTTTTCCGTTTTTTTAATAGGAAAATTAAATTCGATTGATGCTAGTGTTGCTGGTCCCTTAGTTTGTTAATTTAAATTTTTAATTTAAGTTTAAATATAATTTTATGTGAGAGTTTTTTATTATAGTAAAATAGTTAGATACGATTGTTTCTGAGAGCTTTTTACTGTAGTAAAACTTAAATCGATAAAATCAACGAAACTTAAGATTATTCTTACTTAAATCTTTAAATTTTAAAAACTCTCATTTTAGTTTTTAAATTTTAAATTTGTCACATTTAGCTCTTTTTAATTTTTGTTAAAAATCAGACAAAAAAAATACATGGTTAAGTGTGAGAATCTGATTTTTATTTGTTCATTTTAATAGAAATTCAAATAGAAGAACACGTCACTGTATTACTCTCTTTTTTTCTATTTGCTTTTAACATAAATTACAACAAAATGGGTTATGTGAAAACAATTCAAAGTTGGTAAAGTGAAAGATTTTAAAATTCGGAAAAAAAAACTGAGAATGACTATAAAGCTCAGGGGCACTAATAATCATAATCCAGGAAAATTCCATTTAACAATAAAGTCAAAACATACTCTATTATAGTCGCAAATGGCTATCAAATACAAGGGTATTCAACCACGAAAAAGATAAGATTTACCAATGAAGACAAATAGAGGTAGAGACGAACATTAGTGCCGAGACACAATGGAGAGACCAGCTCAACATATTAAAAAGTGCAGCAAAACTTATTTGACAAAATTACTACTGTTGATGGATAAAACCAGTCGACACTAAAAGATCCCATATACTAAGGACACCTTATTTTATTAGTAAATGTTTAAAATATTATCATATCAATTAATAATAAGAGTGTGCCCGACTTCTTAAATAGTTATTAAAAGTTACTTAAACTTATCTGTTTAGCATGATTTTTAGTTTCTTAGGCTCCGTTCACTTCACCAATTCGAATTTAGAATTTGAGTTTTGCTACAGTAAAAAGTTCTCACAAACAATCACATCTAACTTTTTTGCTACAGTAAAAAGCTCTCACATAAAATCACATCTCAACTCGAATTACAAACTCGAATCAGCGAAGTGAACGGACCCTTAATTACTAAAATTTAAGAATTTTTTAGAACCTATAATATTTATCGACATTAAATTTGTGAAGTTCGTTCACCCAAAATTTTAATGTGGTTTAGATCTAGTTTATTTTCCATAAATCCTCACTTCCTAACACCCTAATAAAGAATACAACATATTAACCAACTTATTTTTAACATGACCTTGTAGATCTAACATAATACAACACAAAAATCACATATTTCTCTAAGATAGCAACTTATAACAAAAAGAAGAAGATAAAAATCTAACAAGTTGAACTGGCCCAACGTGCAGATCAAAGACCCATGTATTGTTTAACACTTTTCCTTGTGGACTAAGCTAGGCCCATACATAATACGTGGGCACAGGTCAACCTCACTTATATTTACAATTAGAGCTCACAATATGGGTTATAAACCTCGTTTATTTCACCGATTTGAGTTTTTAATTTTAAATTTTTACAGTAAAAAATTCTCAGAAAATGTCACATTTAATTTTTTTCTATTACAGTAAAAAACTCTTAAAAAATGTCACATATTAACTCGAATTAAAAACTCAAATCCACAAAATAAACGATGTCTACATGAACACGACTCAATTTTTTACCATTAAGGGTTAAAAAGATAAGCCACGTGACCTGTCAAAAAAGGGTCGTGCCGTCAACATGCTTGACACTAAATTGACCCATTCTAATAATCTATTATTTTTAAAATGTTTTTTTAAGAAAAATACGTGATTTATTATAATTTTGTGCATGTCTATTATTTGTGTCATTTTAAATAATTGGTGTTATTGTGATATTTTATTTTTTGTTTATTAATTGAATGACAGTTATTTTTTACCACTTTAAGTACGTTTTTATGATTTTTTCCATATTTTTTTGCTTACTTTTTGTTAGATGTATTTAAATTTTTTGGATTTAATTAGTTGTTGTAGTATAAATTGATTAAATTTTAAGGACATATGTGTTTTATGTTGCGTTTATATGATCTCAGTGCATACATTACATATTTAAAGTAAAAAACATCACGTGTCAAGGATGAGTTGTGGGTTGATTTCGGGTTGAGTGCTTTGCGGGTTGATTGTGGGTCGTGGCGCTCTGATCTCGAAATTTGGCCTGATTTCGTGCTTTAGAGCGCCATGGTGCCTGGAATTTAAGCATACTCATCCATTTTATAGCCTCCAAAACACCTAGAAAATACAAAAAACATAATGAAAATACAAAATACTCAAGAATCAAGCAAGGAAAAATAAAAATTGATCAGAAAGCTATATCAGATTACGCACTTATCAAATAACTTAAAGAGCAAGCAACTGAATTCTATATGTATTCTCCATATGCTTGGGTGTGTAGTGCATATTGTCTCACAACACATGTGTTCCAAAGTTCTCTGCTAAATAATCTCATCGTTTAAAATCCAAATTAATTCACAACTAATTATACTTGAGTAATATTAATTTAGAATTTCATAATTTAAAATTCTCGAATATTCATATTGTCTAACAAGTATAAAAGAATGAAGGGGGACTCATGGATCCATAATTTCAAGCTTCAATAAAATTAATAATCAATTAAACTCTTTAATTAATAAATTATTTTCATTAATTCTAAACGTTGCTCCATTATAATCTTGAAATTGCACTTTTAAAATTATAGACATTTAATTACTTCTAATAATGTGAAGCATCCATTTGATATAATTATTATATATAGATCGATTCTCCATAAATAATTCATAAATTTATAACCTTAATCACGAATTGAGCGCTCTTACTATTCAGGACGGAATCAATACTTAAGAAAATTATTTATCTACGTTTTTATTCAAGAAAGAACAAATTTCATCTCGTATATTAACATTCACGGCTGGCTACTTTATCATGTCTATAAGATAAAAGGAATAAGATTTAACAATCCCGAAATCCATAACGAGTAAATCAATGAACACAAATTCATAAATAGCAGTGTGCTAATGACTCATGATTAAAATCATTTTATATATGACTATTGATCGACTCAATTCGAATTTCTATACATAACGAAAATTATTAGAAATTCAAATCATTTCTTGTCCTACTCCTAAATAATCTCATTATATATAATACACTCATTCAATATGTCAAAAAATACGGTAAAAATTGCACAACATAATTTACCAAGTTCGTACTACTAGGAGAAAAGAACACTGCAAATTCGAATGGTAAATCTCGGATATACCTAGTAAATTTTGAATTTACCAAGTTCGTATTACTAGCGGAAAAGAACACTACAAATTCTAATGGCAAATCTTGGATATACCTGATAAATTCTTGATTTATGAGATTTACCAAGTTCGTATTACTAGGAAAAAAGTGAAAAATCTAATAGGGAATCTCGAATATAGCTGGTAAATCTTAAATTTGACAAGTTTGTATTAGTTGGGAAAAAGTGAAAAATCTAATGGCAATTTCAGGATATGACTGGTAACTCCCAGATTTACCAAGTTTGTATGATTAGGGGAAAAGAACACTATAAATTATCTGAATTTACCAAGTTCATATTATTAGAAAAAAAGAACACTATAAATTTTAATGATAAATCTCAAATATACTTAATAAGTCCTAAATTTACGAGATGTACTAAGTTCATATTAGTAGGAAAAAATGAAAAATCTAATAATAAATTCTAGATTTACTAAGTTCACATGTCTAGAAAAAAATAAAAGTTCTAAAAGTAAATCTCGGATAAATTCAGAATTTATTAAAAGTGTATTTTTAGAATTTTAACTAATTATAAATCCAGATTTACATCACATTAACTTAGTTATTAACTTTTTTTAAACTTTAATTTATTCATTTTAATTCTTCTTAAAATCTTGCACACTACTTTTTAACTCTTTTCTCAAATGACAATGAAAGTGATGTGGGCCTACTTTTCGCTCAATGAAGCCCAATAGTTGAGCGGCTTGAGCCCAAGTTAAAATTGCAAGAAATACGTTGTTCTATCAAAACAAAAAAAACAAAACACAAAAAAAAAGTGGTGTTGGTGGTGGAGGTGGGGGTGGTGGTCGTCGTCGTCCTCCTAAGCTCGTCTCTGCTTTCCTTCGCAGGTAAATTAAAATTAGAATTTCTCTTCAATTTACACAACAACTCTTCCTCTTCTTCTCCCTCTTCTTATCATCCCATGAGATTTTCTTTTTCACACAAATCTCTGAAATACGGCGAGAATTTAGCCTGATCCGCCGTAATCCCAGAATCCCAAAACCCCTCTCTTATCCGATTTCCATATCATCAATGTGAAACTCAAACTCAACCAAACATCCCAGATCCATTAACCCAAAAACCAAAAAACGAAAGAAAATGGTTTTTGGTAGAATTAAGAATTTGTTGATCTTCCATCATTCGTCTCCGTCGTCGGATTCCGCAACGACGTCGTCTTCCGATTCCGTCCTGTTGGGCACACAAGAAGATGATCACACGACCACCATAATACCCAATAACTCAAAGCACAATCTCAGACTCTCTTCTTCTCTTCAAGATCTCTCCACCTACCGCCTTCTCAACCAAAACCAAAATCTCCCCAGTTTCTCAAAACACAAGTTCCCTTCTTCTTCCTCTTCTTATTCATCATCATGTTTTCGTTCTTTTTTACTTTTTCTTGTCCTTCTAATCTCCGCATTCCTTCTTTACCTTCTCGCTCTTTCGATTTCTTCTTATTGGCCCCAAAACGCCTCCAAATTCTACGTCGTCCTCGACTGCGGAAGCACCGGCACTCGCGTTTATATTTACCAGGCTTCACTTGATCGCCACAGTCGCGACCGTACTCTCCCGATTTCGGTTAAGCCTTTTGGGAAGCCCGGACGGAGAAAGCCGGCTGGCCGGGCCTACAATCGGATGGAGACCGAGCCCGGATTTCATAAGTTGGTCGGCAATGTGACTGGTTTGAAGGCTGCAATTAGGCCTTTGATTAAGTGGGCAGAGAAGCAAATCCCGCGAAACGCTCACAAGACAACTTCCGTCTTCGTTTATGCCACCGCCGGAGTGCGACGATTGCCGGCCGCAGACTCGAGGCGGCTTCTGGACAATGCCTGGTCCATTCTCCAGGCTTCTCCGTTCTTGTGTAGGAGAGAGTGGGTTAAGATCATTAGTGGAATGGAAGAGGCTTACTTTGGTTGGATAGCTCTTAACCACCGGACTGGAATGCTCGGGGCCCGGCCGAGGAAGCCGACTTTCGGGGCGCTTGATTTGGGGGGCTCGTCGTTGCAGGTTACTTTTGAGAATGTGCAAAATGTGGAGAGTGAAACTAATTTGGACCTTAGAATTGGGAGTGTAAATCATCACCTCACTGCTTATTCTCTCCCTGGCTATGGCTTGAATGACGCTTTCGATAAGTCCGTGGCTCGCCTTTTTAAGGCAACGCCAAGGACGGAATTATCGAATGGGAAGGTGGAGATTAAGCATCCCTGTTTGCAGACAGGGTACAAGGAGAGCTACACCTGCTCGCAGTGTGCCTCCGCAAATCATCAGCAAGGCGAGAGCCCCGTTGTCTCGGAGAAGAGTTTCGGGAAATCAGGCACCAGTGTGATGCTTATTGGCACACCTAATTGGGATGAATGCAGCGCGCTTGCGAAAATTGCTGTCAATGTGTCGGAATGGAACAGTGTGAGCCCGGGAATCGACTGTGATGTACGACCTTGTGCTCTTGCCGATGGCTTTGCCCGCCCTTCAGGCCAGTTCTACGCAATGTCGGGCTTCTACGTGATCTATCGGTTTTTCAACCTGACTGCAGATGCCACACTCGACGATGTTTTGGAAAAGGGTCGGGGGTTCTGTGAAAGTACGTGGGAAGTTGCAAAGAACAGCGTTGCCCCGCAGCCATATATTGAGCAGTACTGCTTTAGAGCACCATACATTGTGTCTCTGTTGAGACAGGGGTTGCACATTACAGAAGACAAAGTCGTCATTGGCTCCGGTAGTATCACGTGGACGCTCGGGGTGGCTCTATTGGAGGCAGGGAACACGTTTACGGCGAGAATGGGGCTCGGAAGCTATGAAATACTAAAGATGAAGATAAACCCGTTGATTCTTATGGTGGTTTTGGTTGTGTCATTGGTTTTTCTGCTTTGCGCATTGTCTTGTGTTTGGAATTGGAGGCCTAAATTTTTCGGGAGGTCGTACCTCCCTCTTTTCAGACATAATAGTGCATCTTCCGCGTCGGTTCTTAGTATTTCATCTCCGTTTCGTTTCCAGCGATGGAGTCCTATGAATTCTGGTAAGCAATCAATCCTCGAGGTTTTGATTTTACACAGTTCTTATTTTCATGTTTACATAATAATAGTGGTACTATCAGTATTAGCTCACTAGCCATAATTGAAAATATAATTCTCACATTCATTAGACTTGTAGGATGGCTTAGGAGCCTATTATACACCATGAATGCATATGCATCGTTATTCTGTAGTTCTATAAAAGTGCTACTGCTGCTGTATTATCCCAACTTCTTTACAGTAACAAGCTGTGTATTTTAGTTTCATGGCCTATCATGAGCAAAAAGACTCCTGTATTATCATAGAGGTTGATACCATTTTTTTTTTGTTTCTGTTTCTTTTGGATAGAATATTAGAAAGCCATGGCTTTCACTTGTGAAATGACGGGTTAGTAATAAGGCAAAACTTGTAAAGTTCCAATTGAGGTTAAGATCAATTGTTGTTTTGTGGGGGTGTGAGTTGTTTTTAATGTCTTGGGTCCTGTGTTCAAGTCCTAGGAGCGATGAGGGATAGCACAATTTTTAGTTGAAAAAATTAATTGCACTTCTGATTTAGGGAGTTTGAAACGGTTTCATATTTGTGAAGAAACCGTACGTATGACAAATGCTGAAAAGTCTTTATCAACCTTTAGTATTCAACTATTGAGGTTTAGTTCAATTGATTGCTCACTTGAGACTAGCTAAGTGGTTGGGTACGTGAGAGTGTGATTGTACGATCTAAGATTCGGGTTTTAATTGTTTAATTTCTTCTTAATATATTGGGAGCCCTAGGCCCGATACCGTATAAAAAAAGTTTAAAAAAAAAAAGTTTCAATCGGTTGATCATATTACCTTGAAAATGACTAAGCTCTCGGATTTGTGACTGTTTATTGTGCAATATAAATTCAGTTTTCATGTTGATACGAAGAAATTCGTGAAAGAATAGTGTCCAGTTTCAGGAAATAGTTATTCCATTTCTTTTTATTTTCAATATGGCATGCAGGGTTGTGTGAGTGTATTGTTATCCGATTATATTTAGTTGAATGCAAGATGGTTGACCTTGTGGGGTTTCAGGGGATGGAAGAGCAAAGATGCCTTTGAGTCCAACAGTTGCAGGCACCCAACATCGAACATTTGGTTTTGGACACGGTGGTCTTGGCAGCAGTAGCAGCGGCGAAATCCAGCTTATGGAATCTTCTCTGTACGCATCTACGAGCAGTGTGGCACAGAGTTATTCCTCCAATAATCTGGGGCAAATACAACTTGACAGTGGAAGCATGGCTTCTTTCTGGTCACCTCACCGAAGCCAGATGCGTCTGCAGAGTAGGCGATCGCAGTCTCGAGAAGACCTTAATTCTTCGCTGGCTGAGGCACACCTGGTTAAGGGTTAGCGGGTGCTCATCTAGAAAATTTGGGATGTATGGTGATGATTTAAAGGGAAAAGGGAAAGGGAAAAAAAGGCAAAAAGAGAGAAAAAATTGAGAAAGAAGAGATGGAAATTTCCATTTAAGTTTAGGCACATTCTTTTTGTAACATATATACCTGAATTCAGCTGAGAAAAAGTTTTATAAAGAAATTGCTTGATCATTATTTCTTTTATCACAATTTTTTTTTTCACAGTTTTTCTTTTCAAGTCTGAAAATTCTCCAAACTTGTTGAAGCCGCTCTTCTTCTGAACAAAAGAATGACAATGGATCTCTCTCATGACATGTGTCTATGAGAGCTAAGAATTTTTATAACCATTTTGCACCTTCTTTTTCTGGAAGAAAAAGATATGTATAAAGGGTTATATATTCAGATAATCTTGGAAAGAGAAGACATCGTCGTGAAATAAATTGCTTATATACTCGGATTGGTGGAATTGACTCAAACTCATGGCTTAATAGAAGGGACTTGCCACTGCTTTTGATATATATATATATATATATATATATTTAAGGAAATGACCTTTAGTATTTTAACACCTTGTAATATGCGCTTATAGTTGCCGTAACTTGTCCGGAATATGCAGCCTAAAAGAACTTCCTCATTTTATGTAGTTTAAGTAAAAACAATAAAAAAATAGAGCATTTAAATCTGGACTCTCTTTACTCTTAATAAATATCATTTTATTAGTATAATTATTTGATTAAAATGTTATGAATCAAGAGTAAAGGGTAGAAATCTTAACCTATGCATTTTCAATGAGTATTTATCAAGGTTATCCATAAATAATTAACACAGTAATACACCTTATTGGACAAAAAACACAGTAATACGATTAACAATATATATATATATATATATATATATAATTGCAAGAAACTAAAAGAACAAGAGAGCACAAGAGAAATATGAAAGTAAAAAAAATTTTGTATTCTATCTTGTAAGGAGTGATCATACAAGCAAACTCCTCCTCTATATATAGCCTAAGGATCATAACTAGAGGTCATAGGAGAATGCATAAGTTACATAGGTTACATGCAAAATTAAGAGAGGAGTAATGGAGAAATAATACACAATATTAAGAGGAGAAATAATGGGTCTAAATGAGTGGTTTAATATCTATGTAGGTTATGTAATAACAAGAAGTGACATCCAATGCAATTAATTTACAACACTCTCCCTTACATGTTCACCTACTAAGAATATGCCTTGTTAAAAACCTTATTAAGAAAAAATCATGTGAGAAAAAATCTTAGTGAAGGATAAAAGAGTACATTAAATTTTGTAGGATTTGCGCTTTATAACTACCTCATTAAAAACATTGCCAGGAAAACTTCAGTTAATATAAGATGAAAAAAATATCTTTTATCTTTAAGAATGGTATGCGTTGTTCCACTGTCTGCCAAGCAAAGGGTTTCACCATTAACTTTAGCACTATTTTTGTCATCATTGAAATACATATTTCTTCATGAAAAATAAAATAAAGAATTATGAGAATATAACATACAAACCACAATCATTTATATATATTTTTTACAATAAAACACACAAGAAATAGAAACACACTGAAAAATTACAAAACAAGCTAAAAATATAAAGATATATCAAAAATTACAAAACAAGCTCAAAATAAAACACACTGAAAATCACAAAACACACTAAAAATAAAAACACCCCTTAAAATAACACACTTGGGGTAATATGGTGCGGGAACATCATTTTCAAGCTATATTCATGTTTCCATTGCCAAATAAATTCTCAAAAAAATTCGCAACGTCCAAGTGCGTAAACTCCACAGGATCATGGTGTTCAGCAAGGTTTGTCTCTACACCTTTTCCTTTTTCTTTCAACAATGCTTGGTAAAGATCAACAAAATGTTTAACCGTGCGACATGTGCGTCGCCAATGTCCGTTCATATCACACCGATGACAAACATCTTCATTATTCTTGGTGGCTTTATTTTGAGAACCCCTTTCTTCTTGTTTTTCCTTACTATTCTCCCACTTCTAGTGGTGAGAACCACGACTATAACCACGACCACGTCCACGTCCACGTCTGCGTCTATGATCACGACCATGACGTTGACCATGCCCAGAATTATCAATAGATGCAGCATTCGCTTTAGGGAATGGCGTTGATCCAGTTGGACATGATTGATGATTTTTTTGTCAACAGTTCATTACTTTGCTCGGCAACAAGCATATAACAAATTAATTCAGAATGTTTTTAAAGCCTCACTCTCGATACTGCTGTTGTAGGAGCATATTAGAGGCATGAAAAGTAGAATACGTTTTTTTTTTCTAACATGTCCTCATCAGTAACACTTTCTCCGCATTAATTTTAAACATTGTGGAATTATACTTGCTTACACTTTTAAAATCTTGGGAGTATTACGAGCATTTGGGAGTATTACGAGCTTTTGGTGGTCATACCTTTCCTTCAAACTGCTCCAAAGGACATATGAATCTTTTACCATCAAATATTCAGTTTTCAATCCTTCATGGAGATGATGACGAAAGAATATCATTGTCTACGCGCGATCCTGTGAGGATGCTTCATTTCCTTCTTTTATTGTTTCTCCAAAATTCATAGCATCAAGGTGGATCTCAACATCAAGAGTTCATACCAAATAATTGTTGCTAAAAATATCAAGGGCAACAAACTTGAGCTTTGTAAGATTCAACACTGTGAAACTATTATATGACAAAAATAAAGTCAATAAGAATGTAAATGATAATTTATAATCAATCAAAGATTTAAAATATAAGAATATCAACTATTAGGATAGAAACTGATAAAAAAAAAAAAGATATGAACTTGTCGTTGGTAGCAGATAAATAACGTTTTTTTTTTTTTTTTTTGTCTGTAAATAGAGGCAGAAATGTAACGTTAAGATCATGGCTAGAAACATAATAAATATGAATGACATAGATTAGCTGTAATAAAATATGGCTATTTGTATGAACACCTCCTAAACTTTTTAAATTTGATAATTTAGTCCCTAAACTTTTTTTTTACAATCAACACTCCTTTCTTGACACTTTCAACCTTATGAAGGATCAAGTTGTGATTTTTAAGTGAAAAATCATTTAAACAACAACAAATTTGTAGGCGGAAATTTCAAAAATTTTCACATCTCTTTTAATTCCAAATTAAACGTAAATCACAACGAGAGATACATGCATGATATATGTTTATAGATAAAGGAATAAAATGACAATCATACCTTTAAGATGATCGGATCAAATATGGCCGCAAGGATCTTGTCTCACTATCTCACGTTCTGAGATGGAGAATTGCCGTGAAACAAGACCGTTGATTTATGAACACGATCACGCCACAAACCACTCGTTGATTCAAGATTATGACTTTAAGTGTTTTGGGATTAGAGAGTGGGCTCTTTTTCAAAAACCTAAGGAAACAATTTTCCTTCTAATTTTGTTACAAAATCCGGCTACCCTAGGAAGAGAGTGAGAGTGAGATATTTTTTTTCTTCTTCTTTTCCACCACTAGGGTTTTCAATAATATCTTTTTATAAAAGGAAATTCAAAAACTCAAACCCTAGATGGGATTTCTGAATTTTCCTTCATCTTTTTAATCAAAATCCGAATTCCCTCTTGCCTTAGGGATTTCTGAATTTTTCCTTCCCCTTTTATTGCCAAATCAAATCATATTCAAATTCTATTTTGAATTTTAAATTAATCACCATTAATTTCAAAATTCAAATTCATTCCTTTTATTTTTCAATTATCAAATAAATGAAAAATAACATAATGAATTTATTTAAACACAATTATGTAACAAAACATCAGTTTCAATTTTCCCACTTATTAGAGCTAGCCTTGAGACCGAATGGACCCATATGAACAAAGCTATGGAATTACAATACTCGACTAATTTATCCCGATAAGTTATCGACGTATTTAATTCCGACATCGTACGACTCCACTAAAGGTTCGATGCCGACTAATCTCTTGATTCATATGCGCTATTTTTCTGATGGTGTTAATACAATTTATCACACGGTCCACAGAATAAATGCACTATTATCCTTCGTAAATATCAGTGACTAGAATGGTATAGAAAATTACCGTTTTACCATTCCAGTCATTGTTTCCTCGACTCCTTTATATGACTGTGAATAAGAAAGACATATGTTCGTAAGATGTCTCGCACATGTCACGATGTATTAATCAATGAATACCAGGCCTGGTTTATTTATTCACACACCCATCAATAAAGCATGAGGTGACATTATCGCTTACGAATTCCATATCTGTGAATCACACAACTCCAACTTAATTATTTCATGATCCCAATAGCCGAGATGTTGTTCAAAAACTATGAACTAATCTCATTGGTGAATCAAAGACCATGAGAAATTAAGTCGAGTTATGTATTCACTTCAGGATTGAGATAATTATACAAATATACTTAAGTTGTAATAATTAGGTTTAGAGCTCTGTAAACGGTTTTTGCTCTAACCTAATTAGTTACATGGTCTATTCAACATGTTGTGAACATGTCTAGATCAACCACAGAGTCCAACTCCCATGCCCCGAGACCAGCATCATATGGTTCGATCTAACAGTCATAATCGGATTCGATTGCCCAATCGATCCTAAGACTGCGAATATGTATTTTAAACTATATCAGAAGAGCTTGTCCGGCAGGGATTCCCTGACTCTTCTTTCATTGATCATAGTCTATGGACTAAGCAATATTACTAACACTCTTTGAATATGAATTAAAACGTAACTTTATTTTATTTATAAACGTCAGCAAAACAATGATATCCGATATTTACCATTTCATAAATAACAAATTACATCATACTTTCTGGACACATTTCCAACACCTTATTGCTCAAATTTATTAAAATTTTGACATATTTTGCACCCAACTTACGAATGACATCCTAATAAGGGCATTAATGTTCATTTTTGTTTAGTTTCAATATAAATACATTTAAAAACTTAAACTTAATTTAATTATAACTTAAATATTAATATAAACTTTTAACATGAAATTTTATTAATACAAAAAAAAAAAACATCAATGTGCTTCCTAATCCTAAGCTGTCACTTATAAGTTTGACAGAAAAAACCATCAAAATTTGAACGAATTTGAGCAATAAGAATTAAAAGTGCTAAAAATTAAATGTTCTGGTGGTTGATTGTCAGGAAAAAAAGTTTAAGGACTAAATTGCTAAATTCGAAAAGTTCAGGGAATGTTCATACAAAATAACCATAAAAAACATAGAACTCATGATATGTAACAGTAAAGTAACTAATCATAAAAGAAATGTTATTTTAATGTAATAAAAGAACTTATAGCAAAACAGTAATATAATCAATTCATGTACATCAATAATAATAGCCCATAAGAACATATGATATATTATACAAGCATATATATATAATAGTCTAAATCAGTAATGATGCATGTATAATGAAATCATCAAAAACGAAATTTCATACCAAAATTAAAATGATCAAAAACTAACAGATAACACCAATGAAGGAAAGAACAGGCAATAGATACAATGTTATAGTAGAAAAATCATTGCAACAAGAATACTAAAGAAAAAGAGTACAGATATGTAATATCCATTCAAGTAGAAAAGAAAAACTATAATAAAATCATGACCATGTATCACGGAAAATATACGTGCAATATACCTTTCAAAGTGGGAAGTGATCGAACCAAAATGTATCAAACAATTCACAGATAAGAGACTTGTGCTGATAACTTGTTATTAAATAATAGTAAAAATTACAATTGCAAGAAACTAAAAGAATAAGAGAAAGCACAAGAGAAATATGAGAGACAAAGAAACTTTGTATTCCTTTTTGTAAGGAGTGATCATACAAGCAAATACCTCATCTATTTATAGCCTAAGGATCATAACTAGAGGTCATATAGGAGAAGGCATAAGTTATATAAGTTACATGTAATGGAGAAATAATACAAAATATTAAGCAGGGAAATAATGGAGTCTAAATGAATGGTTTAATATCCATGTAGGTTATGTAATACCAAGAAGTGGCATCCAATGCAATTGATTTATAACAAAGACAGTAATACACCTTCACTCTACAACAACGCCCGTCTATCTTGCTAAAATTCAGAAACAATAGAAAATAGCAAATGCAACTTGTCCATTACACCAATCTCTGATATGTAACAGAGCCTCATTCTCATCAAACTACAACAAGAAAGCCAAAGAAAATAGCCCCCTTTTATTGGTGAAGAGAAAATAGCTCTTTTTTTTTTTGTTTTTTTGTTTTTTTTTGTTTAACAAGTACACGAACATGATTAAACCCGCATAAGTATATGTGCTGATCAGGAAAATGATGAAACAAAAAAAAATGAAGAGATAATGCTCTTTATATTCCTAAGATAGTCCTTATCTGATGTGGAGGATGTCTTGCCAACGACTTAGGGTCTTGGTAGCCATTCTTGGGATCCATAATTGCATCGTAAATAAGTTGATAAGCTTCAGCCAGTGATCTAGCCACCTGGACCGAAGCTTCAGAACGTAACTTTGGAACCTGCATCTGCTCAAACTCTGGCAGCGAACTCTCGCTTCCCAAAATTAAACCAAAGAAAGCCCTCAGAGACTCTGAGAGAGAAGCAGGTGACGTGTCCTCTATCTCCGCTAGCGGGGCTTTAATAATGTTCTCATCGCCTCCTTCCTTGTTCAGCACATTACGGAAATGATGCATCTTCTGTAGCAAGCCACATTTTCTTAAGATGCCGTCAACTTCTTTTCCCACAAGGATCCCTACATGATTGTCAATCATCGCTCCAAGTTTCTTCACATATTCAGCCGCGACCTCATGCCCCAACAGCGGTTGTTGGATGGCGCATAGGCAATTTATGAGGAATATCTTTGAGAGCGTCTCGCTATTCTGCTCGAAGAGGTTAATCAGGTATTAGGATGCAGGAAAGAAGTCTTCTTTCCTAGAAATTATGCACACAAGCTCAAACCATCAATAATACCTGAGAGGATGAGCCAGAAATGCTGCTGGAGAGCAGCGCATCAACGGATGACTTACTGATTTGACCCGAATCAGAACTAACTCTGCTTTTTCGTGATGAGTGACCGATGCCCTTGGACTTGTGTGCCTCTGCTGCTAGCTCACATATCTATAATAGGATAATTGGACAAATGATTTTAATCCCCTCGCACAGTAAACCAAAATAAGCGGCTATAATTACTAAGAACACTCCGTATATCATTCTCTAATAAAGATTACAAGTGGGACCCATAACCTCCATCCAAAGCCCTCCTCAACCCCCTCGCCATACATGTATTGCTTCATCGTATTGCTTTTAAGACCCCAAACGTTATTTGCACAAGCACCAATACACCTTTCATACTTATTTGAATAGCCTTGATTTTCTTTTTTTTTTTTTTTTTTTTTTAAACATTTGACTTTTGCTTTACTATTCCTTTTGCTATAAGTAAAACGTAGAGCTTATTCCAAAAACAAAACAAGCCCAGACTAAAGCCACGTATAGAACAACATACAATAGAAGGAGGTACATTAAGATGTTGTGACATAGTTTGCCCATTGTAGATTTGATATCTATCCTACCCTAAGCTAAATGAAAAATGCTATATTAAAAGTGGAACTTGGAAGTTCTCAATCCCGTCACCGCTAAATGGAAATTATAATACAACGGCAACCAAGCTGTCAATGTGAAGCCCTTAAAAAGTAGAAAAGTTACTTTTATAAAAGTTACCTGAATAATAGGGTTGAGTAAAGCAGATATCACTGGATTGAAATCAGGTTTTTTCTCCGAAGCAGGAATCATCATGCCGTTATGAGTTGCAATAATTTCAAGCAGTATAGAGACTCCCTCCCTTACAGCTGGAGGTGGGGAAAGATCAACAGCCACCAATGGGGGATATCGTAGAAGCTTTTCGCCTCGAATTTTTAGAATATCAAAAAATGTCTTCTGAGCTGCATCCTTTAGCGTCCAAAGTGTACTAGATAAAGCTGTTTCTCTCCCAAGCAAATCTGATATCTGCCAACGAATAGAATTACTACAACAAAAGTTCTCGCCCAGGTTTAATAATACATAAAATACAGGAAAGAACAGATATACCGTGTAGCTATAGAACTCGAGGGTATTGCTGAGTTTATACGATACAATGAGACTAGGTTGAGACTGTAGAACTTGCTCAACTCTCACTTTGAAAGGCCGGCAAACTCCTTCAAAGATTCTATCCAAAACAAATGTCAAGTCGGATTCTATTTTTCCAGAATCACTCTGCACGGTCTTAGAGACTTGTTCCTCAGTTGGTCTACCATCAACCACTGTGTCAGGATCTAGTAGCACGAGAACAAATTCTCGTTCGGATGCCAAGGCCTGCGATATAAATAATTTCAAGCAGTTAATATATAACAAAAGGATGATAGTTTTAAAATCAGTAATAGACTTCTGAATAGGACTTTGAGGGAAGCCCCACTTGATGCAACCATCCCAGCATGTCCCCGACGTATCGCAAGGGGTCATGAGCATGCACTTCAATTGGACGAGGCATACCACCCGGTCCTCCACGAGTAAGAGCACTGATGAACCTTCTAAACAATGCATTGTGCCTCATATTCGCTACCTGGAATGTTTGAAAACAAATAAACAACAATAAATGTTACCAGAAAACCCACAGGTGATATGTTACAGAATGCAGGTTATTAACCATTAAGTCTGATCCGGTAGAATCACCTCTTCTGCACAATACTTGAAGAGAACAGGCCTTTCCCTTAGGCAGCGAACTGCCATTTTCAGAAGTTCACTAACTTCAGGGTTATCAGCATCACCCAACTTTCTACATTCAGCCTGAACCCACCTACATAAAGAGTAATCAAAGCCATAAAATCATCTAAGCTATTTCGCAGCTGAAATAATAGCTAAGTAAAAACTTCAAAATCCCCTTTATGGACAAAAGTACTTGAAGAAGAAATGAGTATTGTGACTAGGTATACAGTGCTCTTTAAACCGTATCTAACCCAGGTAGAGGAACACTGTATACAGAGATCTTTAAACTGAAGTTAGTCAAGTTAAGCTCTTACTTGTGATTGATGGTTAGACCTGTCAAGAAGTGTTTAGCACTGTAAATATTAGTGGAGTGGTTACTCTTCTAATTAGAGTCGGTTAGGGCTGAATAACTATCTGGTTCTTCTGGTTCTTCTGGTTCTTCTGATGATTATCAATGGCTAGGATAGAATTCCTTATTTATACTTATGGTTATATGAACACAATTCAATCAATAATCAGAAATCGTTCATTCTTCAGCAAATATCATCCTCACAAAGGCAATTGAGAATGAAGCATGACAAAGGCAATTGAGAACTTGTCACTTAACAAAGCAGATTGTAATTCCATTGTTTTCGTAGGCTTCCCAACTAGAAAAGTTTTTAAGCAAGAACGTGGGAAGCAATCTTTCACAAAAAGAAGAAGAAGAAGAAGCGGAAAGGCAAAACGAAACGGATGTCCTGCGTCCGAAGTTATTTTCTGCGTGCTTTCCCAGTATCCAAGCGGAAGTTAAAAAGCTGCATCACGACATTAAAGAGGAGAAAAAATCTCCACACATGATGATCAAGTGCAAGAAAAGGTCATGCTTTTTCTTGTAACCGAAATGGAATTGAAAAGTATTTTCGTCAAAATGTAAGGGTTGAACCAGATTATAGAGCATTTTTTTGTGAGAAATAGTCGATGAATTGAAATTTAATAAAAGAAAAACAAATTGTTTTTCTTCAATTCCAATTCATCTTGATAATTTGTTTAGCCGCGTGGTGCCAATAATAAATCTTGAAAATTAGCATCAGCAATCCAAATTATTTTTTTTCTGCGACATTAAATTTATCTATTCTCAATTAGAAAGGGCCCGTTTAGTTCGCCCTGCAGTAAAAAATTTAGATGTGATTGTTTGTGAGAGCTTTTTACTTAGCAAAACTCGAATTCTAAACTCGAATTAGCGAAATGAACGGCCTAAAACTGTTTATATCTAAAATCTAAAAGGGAAATTAATTCTTTTATAGAAGAATCACCTGCAAAGACGCTCATAGGCTCCTTCTTGGTATACGGCCATCATGTCCATCAGCTCCAGACCAGCGCGCTGAGTAACAGAGAAATTCATCATAAGGAAATCGTCCCAATTCTCAATTTCACTCAATTTCACTCAATTTGACAGAAATAGCATAGTACCTGATGATGAGTCCTCAAGAGGAGTTTGCAATTGGCATGGATCTCCTGCACGTGAGAGAGAGCCTTGAAGAAAGCCTCGCTGAGCTCCTCCTCCCTCAGCGCCGCCATTTCCTCGGGGGAGACCTGGTAGTCGCGGAGGAAGCAGGACACGATCTCCTGCCGCTGCGCCGTCAGGAGGAGCTCTTGCCGGAGGCGGTCAGTGGTGGAGACGATGTCAGCGGTGGAGGCGGCAGAGGCGGAGATTGCATTGCCGATACGATCGCAGCAGCCGGCGAGGGAAGCAACCTCCGCTTCCACGCGGTCCAAGGCGGTGAGTGCGGCGTCGGAGGCTGCGAGGAAATCCAGGTTGATGGAAAGGGCGCGCTTCTCGATGGTGGATCGGAGGTTACGGCGTGCCTGGGGAGTGTTGTCGGAGTAGAAGTCGGAGAGGGTTTGGAGAGACGCTATCAGATCCGGCGACTCCGTTCTCGTTGATTCCAGAACCTTCTTCAGCTTCCGGGATAGCCCCGGCGCCAATGTCCCTGTCGCCATTGTTGTTTTTATTCTCCCTTGTAGGATTACTTTTTCATTTCATTTCTGGTTTTCCTATTCTCAAAATAAGACGATTTGTTTATGGAATCTACTTCTTCGTCTTCTTCTTCTTCTCCTCCTTTTTCTTCCTACTCCTAATCTCAACTTAACCAACGGAATTGGGAGTAGGCACACCAATAGCGAGCAATCGCAATTCTCCAAAAATAAAAATAAAAATAAAAACAACAACTTTCCTTCCGCAGGCCCGCCCAGCCCACATTTTGTTGGGCTCCTTACCCAAGTACGCCAGATCCATGACTTGGATTGCTTACGATAAAAAAAAATAAAAACAAATTCAAAGAATTACAGGGTTGTTCTTTTGCATTTTTGAGTTAGGGTGATTTGAATAAGAATTTTAAGTTGAGTTTGGATAATAACTTGAGTTGAAATTGTAACTTAAGTTTGTGTTTAGATGTGCACATTTAAGTTATTATTTGAATTGAGAATCTATTTGAGTTTATGTTTGGGTGGGTCAAAACTTAAATTTGTATTTAGATAGTATTTTAATAAAAACTCAATGGTGATTAAAAATTTTAATAGGGTATATAGGAGAGGTTTTATTCGTCTCTTCATTGTGAACGCATAGCAAGAAAAATCATCTCAATCGAAATTAAAACGAAAAAGTTATGGTATTTTTAAAAATAGAAAAAATATTGTTCATTAACTTGAATTCGAGTTTATGAACTCAAGTTAAAGGAGAAACTTGAACTCGATTTTAGCCCCAAACTCAAGTTCAAACTCAAATTTTATAAAAGAACATGAACTTGAATAAAGTTGTAACTCGAGTTCAAACTTTTTCTGAGTTTCATTACAAAAAAGCAACCCCTACATGTTTTACCCTAATAAGTCGTAATAATTCTACCTTTTTCTTTTAATTCTTTAAAAGAAAACCGTTTTAAAACTTTTTTGTCCTTTTGTCCTTGATATTTAAGTCTTGTTTTCACTGTTTCAAATCATTTTTTCCTTTTCATTTCTCTCACTAACTTCCGCTTATCTTTTCTCTTCCATTTCTCGCTCTAAGTTCCGCAATTGTCTCTTGATTTTCATCGCGATTTCTTCAGATTTCAGCAGTTTTTCTTGACTGTTTCGATCGTGATTTGCTTTGATCGTGTTTATGTTGCTATTTTGATGGTATCTTCTTCTACATATGGTAATTTTAATCGGCTATTTTGTTTTTCATTTTAGGGTGTCTGCTTTCATTTTTTAGGTTTTTTTTTCTTATTCTCATTCTAGATTTTCTTATTCTATATATGACCATTGGTAAATTGAAATTTGATTTTCTACACTTAATAAAAATTATCAAAAAATCAAATTGTGTATGTGTTTCAGTTCTACATAATCTAATGCTGCGTAATACACTTATTCAATATCTCTCTACATTAATTATGCAGATAATACCATTCCATTCTTATTGGGAATGACGTGTATTAGTAATATTTTAATTAAAGATTTTGTAACTTTAATTAAATTCTTTATGAACATTATTTCGATTATTATCCTCCCGTATATAACACTTATATACAATATATAAGGTCACATAAATAATCGTGAAATTTTTAATGATATTCATAAAGTATTCAATAATACATGCACATAAATAATGAAAAACTATTTTATTAATTAAATAATAAATATCTTTATTACATCTCATGCTCTAAGGATATTATTCCTAACAATCTCCCGCTTGTCCTAAAACAGGTGTGACATGTCCCTAATCCCAAATCCTTCTAGGTGTTTTTCAAAGACATTTAGTGGAAATGTCTTCGTGAACGGGTCCGTGAGGTTGTTCTCCGATGCGATCTTCAGAACCGTTACATCACCTCGTTCGACTATATCTCTGATTGAGTGATATTTTCTCTCTCTATATGCTTTGCACTCTTATGATTTCTTAGTTCTTTTGAAATCGCCATTGTTCCATTGTTTTCACAATATAGTTTAATTGGCTTCTAGACCAGTTAAGAACTTACGGAGCCATGTTGTTTTCTTTATGGCTTCACAAGCTGTAACATACTCATCTTCCATGGTAGAGTAAGGAACTCACTTTTGTTTAACACTCTTCCATACTATAGCTCCTCCGTTAAGAGTGAACACAGATCTGGATGTCGACCGTTGATTACCCCTATCTGACTGGAAGTCAGAATCTATGTATCCAGTGAGAGACAAATCTTCTCTGGAATATACAATCATATAAGTTCTCGTTCTCCTAAGACACTTTAGAATACCTTTCACCGCAACCTAATGATCTAATCCTGGGTTGGACTGGTAGTGGCTGACTTCTCCTACTGCAAAATAGATATCTGATCTAGTACACATCATGGCATACATAAGGCTCCAAACTATAGATGCATATGGATATTTTCTCATGTCCTCTTCCTCTTGTGGGGTTTTAGGACATTGCTCCTTAGAAAGATGAATACCATGCCTAGAAGGTAAATTTCCTTTCTTGGAGTTTTGCATCGAGAATCTAACAAGCGTCTTGTTAATGTATAACGCCTGAGACAATGCCAACATATTTTTCTTGCGATCTCGAATATACTTGATTCCAAGAACATAGCTCGCATCTCCCAAATCTTTCATTTGGAGTTGGTTGGCTAACCATTTCTTCACGTCGCTCATAAATTCTACATCATTTCCAATGAATAGAATGTCATCCACGTAAAGAATTAGGAAGACCATTTTCTTATGTTTTATATACTTATAAAACTAGATGTTACATAATCTAAAAGCCTGTTTTAATCTATAAATAGATCTCTGCAGTTTGCAGACTTTCTGCCCTTGGCCTTTGGCTACAAAACCCTCTAGCTGTCCATATAAATGGTTTCCTCAAGATAGCCATTCAGAAAAGTTATCTTGACATACATTTACCATATCTCGTAATTGAAATATGTTGCAATGGTCAGGAGTATGCGAATGGATTTAAGCATGACTACCGGTAAGAAGGTTTCCTTATAATCAAATCCCTCAATCTGAGTGTAACCTTTGAATAATCGTCTATAAAAGTTACGAAATATCATAACCTCCTCATGTTTAGACATTTAAAGGTCCACATACATCCGAATGTATCAACTCAAGGGATTCTTTGGCTCTTTCACCTTTAGCCGAAAAAGGTCTCTAAGTCATCTTACCTTCCAAATAGGATTCACAGACAGAGAGCTCACTAACTTTTAGTTCGCGTAAAGGATCATCATTTACCAGTCTTTCAATCAGGTTTAGGCTAATCTGACCAAGTCTAAGATGCAACATGTATGTGTTGTTTTAATGGGAAATTTTTTGTCTTTTATTCTTAGGTTCAGTAGCCTTAAGCATTTCAATATTAAGCAGTGAGTTAGGCATTAATTGTATACTATATAAACCATCATCCAGACGTCCTGAACAAGTATTCAAACCATTTCGACAAATATGAACTAATTCATCATTAAAAGAAACTTTAAATAATTGCTCAAATAACTTGGAAACAGAAATCAAATTCCTTCGAATGTCTGCAATATAATAAACATTACTTAAAATTAAATATTTATTGTTCCTAAACTGAAGTTTAACTTATCTCACTGCTTGTGCCGAAACTCTTGCACTGTGGCCCACTTTGAGCGTGTACTCCCCATCGGTAAGTTCTCGGTAAGAGCTAAGACTCTGTAAAGAAAGATAAACATGATTAGTTGCTCCCGAATCAACTATCTATGATGAGGTATCATCCTTGACTAAACATATTTCTAGAACTAGTACATTATATTTACTTTGCTCCTTCTTCTTCTTCTTCTTCAGCTTGTTGAGATACTTTTTATAGTTTCTCTTCTAGTGACCTTATTGGTTACAGTAGAAACATTTTCCTTTCAGTTTCTAGTATGAGCCTTTATTGTTCTTCTTTACTTTCTTATTCTTATCCTTGGGCTTCACCTTCCCCTGAATCCTTTGTCTCTATATAACAGCAATATTTGCTTCTCCAGTCTTTCAATTAATATTAGTCGACTCAAAGTTTTATAGCGCATTCAGCAGCTCATCAAGTTCGAGTGCATTTTGTTCATAACATAGTTATTCTTGAACTGTTGAAACCGTGGGGATGGACTTTCCAGGATTATATCGACACGGATAGCATCATCAATGAACACACTATTGATCTTAGCCTCGTGGAGGAGCTCGATCATGTTCAGAACATAAGCATGGATGGAAGATCTATTCTTAATTTTCTAATTAGTAAAGGCTCTGATAACATCCAAACGTGCCTTGTTACATGGAGCTCTGAACACGGTGTCCAGCCACTACATTATCTCATAAGCAGTTTCATCTCCTCATGCTTCTTATGAAGCACATCGCTCATGCTTACCAACAGGTAACACTTAGCCTTGTTGTTAGCCTTAATCCAGTGATCATAGGCTTCCTTATATGTGTTTTCTTCAGGTTCTGCAAGATAGTCCTCCGCTAGGACAAACTTGTAATCATTATAGATTACCAAAATGTTCATATTACTTTTCCATTGAACGTAATTGTCTTCGTTCAGTTTTTCAGTTGCAAGTAACGAGATAATTGGATTAGACATGTTGCTGGAATAAATAGAAAATTCATTTTAATCCTATGTGCATAAATATCATAAAACAAATATTTTGGCATAATTAAACGTGATGCATGATGCACATGATAAATACATAAAATCATAGTTTAAAATTAATGTCAACGATAATCCAATTTTCCACAAATATAGTGTCACCGTAGGGTAGGTCAAAGTATTAACAAATTGAACTGAGACTCTCTCAATTAATAAGATTTTTAAAATATCTCATATTTTCAACCTATATTAATTATTGTTATTTTGGTCAAAATATAATTAACCATTTAATTATATTTTATGAGTGTAACTCACCGTTTCAAATTTTACAAGCTTAACTCTAGAGTGCCACAATAGGGTAGGTCAAACTGAAAATACATGTTTGAATCCTATCACTAGGAAGTCAACATTGATATCGATCTAGAATGGACACTCTCCATAGAGAGGACGAAATCAATGTCGTCGTGAAGTACCTTCCGTATCTCACAGTGTTGAACTAACGGTGGAGACCAGTAGGTCGTATTGTCATACAACTCTCTCCTACTCAATATTTTACAAATATGTATTTTCTTTGAAAAA